TAAAGGATTCTTGAGTCGCCAGTCTGTGTTCTGGTTTTCGCGTTGGTTGGTACAAAGTGTTCCTGAGAGTCTTCGAGGGACAGCGTGAGGTCCAGCGTAGTAAGAGCTGGACATTGACAGTTTATTAGTCTTAGCTGACACCTTGTGACTGCAGGGGATGGTGTTTTAGTGCCTTTCCTAAGGCTTTTTTCGACAACCATATGAAAAATCAGTATGACTTATGTTGTAGACGAATAAGAAAGTAAGAACAAGAGTAAGACTGAAAAATTACAAGACAAGGAAAAGAAAAGATTTTTGACTTTACCTAGTACTTTATGGAGGTTCGGCTTCACAGTAATCACGTGGTAGACCAACAAGTCTTGTTCATTTGAACGAGTGAGAAAGATGCTGCTACAGTAGTGGCACCCAAATCTTTGGCAGTAGTTCGAGACAGCTGGACTCACCACACAGAGATTTATTATGTAAGTAATGGTTGAATTTAATTCACCGACTAGGAAGATCAGGTTTCCCAAATGGATAATTCGAAAAATTGTTATTTTCCGGTTAGAGAGGAAAAAGCACGTCTTATTCCACGTCTGTCATTATCCTAGCAGTAGATTTTGCCGTGAAAATTGAAAATCTGTCACAAGATCATTTTTCCAGGGTTTAAAATAAATCCCAGTTATGTAGATCTTCAATTCCATTATCTTCGTGGTGAATTCGATTGAAACTACTTGACTTTAATTCTGAATGATTCTCGTGCCAACGTCTGCTGACCTCAAAGCAATAAGTGAGAGGCATTCAGTTTGTTTTGAGTTAATCTTAAGAGTTAGTGGCTCAATGTGAGGGCCAGTACTTTTTGGATTTACCTATCACATCATCTGACATATTTCCGTCTAGTGGAAAAGAGAAGATAAATCAGGTTGATAGTTATCTAGAATTTTAAATATTGTGATTAAATCACACCACTGTCTCAAGTGTCGTACAGAGGAAAGACTTCAGCCGCTAGTTCGTTCCTAGTATGATAATTTGGCCATACTAAGGATAATACATGTAGCTATGTTTGAACTATCTTCAGAAAATATAGACCCCCTATTAAACAAAAATTAACTACCTGAATGGGTGAGTCCAGCAGTGGTGTGCATAAAGTTAAATATACACTAACGATTCTAGAAAAGATTTTGGAGGCTGATACTAGGCGAAAGTATGGTGTAAATGTTAACCAGTGATATTCGATGACTCCTATATCTGCATGAATTTGAAATGAAACTGCTGCAATCCGTAATACGTCGTAAGCGCTGTCACTTGCGTGCTAAGGTCGTATGTGCATGCGCACTTTGCCATGCTGACGGAAGGTCAGACAAACACCGATATTCGTATTCAAGGAATGTCACCATTATCCCTCAGGTGGTGTCTAGGCAAAAAGTTTCGAAGTGGTGCCCACCTCAGACAGCGACTAATGAGGAGGGGTCTCAAGAAAGTCACCTATTCTACGTCAAGGATACAAGCTCTGGCACAGACTTCGTCGTAGATGCAAGAGGTGAACTCAATATCATACTGAAAGCAAAGCATAAACAGGGACGACAAAATTCCCGCGTCACGCTACATGCTACCAATAAAACGCAGGTTGCAACGCTCAGGTAGAAAACATCGGTGTTTGACCTCCTGTTCAAGCGACAGCTTCTAAGAGTTATCAATGTTGCTGACTTAGGTGCAGTAATCCTTGGTATATATTTCCTGGAAAGCCGCAACTTATTAGTGGATAATTACAACAGATGCGTAACAATCTCCCGGCATACGAACAGTGGACCAGTGAGTACCATTCATTAAATCTAGCCCACATTTCTCCAGAGTCAACCAAGGGTTCCTAAAAGTACTACTGGGATTCCTAACTCTGACGGCAGCCAACCATCAAACTTCTAGGACTTGCCCTGAAACTGTTTACAAGATAAGGACGTATTGTATTTCAAGCCGAGAAGATTGGCCATGAACAAACCAACAAGGGCGAAAAATGAACTTGATTACATGCTTCAACCAGGGATTATTTAGCCCTCAAATAGTCAGTGGGATTTTCCGTTGAACATAGTGTCCGGGAAAAATCAGAAGGACTGGAGCCCTTGTGGTGAATACAGAACCCTAAATAAACAAACCATTCCAGGCAGATACTCAGTACCACACATTCAAGACTTTAGTAACAGCCTTTCTCGCACCACAATATTTCCTGGGACAGACTTAGTTTAGGCCTTTCACAGTATTCCGGTGGCTGAAGAAGATATGCCTTAGTCACTCTCATGACTCGTAGTTGCTTGGTATAATTAGTTTATAATTTGTATCCTCAGCAACAGGCTTTGGTTTTGTCAGTTACGACACCTACTTAGAATCTGTTAATGGGAAAATCACACACATCGAGGCTAATGTAACATGAGAATACTTAGTGAAACAAGACCCGCATCAGATACTGGTAGTGGCTCTAGGAAATCCAGTTACCTCCGTAGGAATGTCACAGCTTGCTTTTCGCGTATTGGAAGTCACAAACTGGACACATGAAGCTGCGAAACATATCAACAGCTTCACTGATAATTTTTATTTCCCACCATTAGCGTTTGATCTGTTCGGATGAAAATATCAGTAATTTCCCACCCAGTATACTTAGGATGTCCCAACCCAGTTGTGGCAGGTCAAAACCTAGCTGACTTCTGGCCTCCAAACATAAGGGTAGCAACAACGGTGTACGCATTGAACTAAATCAGCTAAACTGATTATTTACGCCTCTAAACCTATTAACACCGGCCGTTTTGCCAACTACACTCCAATTGACTGCCATAACGTATTTATCTGGTCTGTCAATTTACTTCCAACGTTGAGACCAAAATATTTACGTTTTGACAGATGGGATGGTTTATTCATTTTCCATGAGAAATCAGTATGTGTTAAGTGAGTAGGTATGCGATAGCAAAAACTGACGGCAAAGTTAAACTTTAGACACCACTAACAACCAATCAGCAAACGACCTTGAACGGACCAGTTACATTAAAGAGGCATATATGATGAATGGAAATGTATATTTGTAGGAAAAAGCATAAAATAGAGAATAAAAAAGTTACATGGGATATCTTTCTCGAACATGTGAGAGAAACATCTCCCAGTTTAGCATGGGACTGCCAATGGAGAAGTTACACCATATCCTGTACATTCTGTACATATATTCATCCAAATGACCATAAATGAGATCCTCTTGAGATCCATTTATAGCCCTTATCCTATTTTTCAACTTGCCCCAAAATCCTTCAATAGAATTGGCATGTGTCCTCGTAACGGGATCCACAAAATCACTTGAATGGTTGACTCTATGATGAATATATCCCATAGATGACAGTGAATTGTAGCCTTTCCACTCGTCGGTGTGTATAATTGACCCCCGCTTAACAAGTCTGGTAATAATAGGTATAAGAGTAGTTGCTTTTCTATCTGCTATCCTTAGGGAGAGAAGCGACCTAGCGAAAAAAGTTCCTACGAAATTTTAAAATTATCAGAAAACTCTCTCTAGCGTTAGTAGGCTTCAAACATATAGCACAACGATGAACAAACCCATCAGTTGATTTGGTATAGCTTTTTAAAGTCGTGATACCACCACACAAACAAATTCGCTATTTCCGGCGCAACTCAAATCCAGGAAATAGTGGAAAACGCTAACCTCCTGGAATTGCAACAATAGCTTTGTAAGGTCACGCATTAGAAATGAATCAAGTGCTATAAAACATTGAACTGCGTTCGTGAACCTCATTGGATAATTCGATATCGTTCGTGAATCTTATTGGATAATTCGCTGATTGGTAGTTAGTGGTGTCGAAAGTTTAACTTCGCCAAACTGACTTTTGTTTATTGATATGCAGTTCACAACAGTGTTAGACTTTATTATAGGGACGATGAATGTAAACTGGTATATACAGTATCTGATATCGTTTTTACAAGCTAGTATAAACCAATTTGATTTATTTGTGCTCGCTTCTTGATTGTGAGGTAACGGTCCCTAATATTCAGTAAACTTTCGTGTAGTTCGTCTCGCCACTCGACTGTCTTAGCTTTGGTTGACTCCAAAAGGAGTAGTGCTGTGATTAATTATATGCTACATGCAGTATGCGGAGTGTTAAGACTTCGTTACCACTGTGAGTGGAGCTGATCCTTTCACCAGTTAGTCCTCTAGTATCGCCGTCAAAAGTAAAGAATCATAACAAGGAGTAATATTAGTGTAGGACATTCAAACTAAAAGACAGAAAAATAAAGGAAACATGAAACAGACAGCCAATAAAATTTTAACTTAATATATTTATACATATATAAATATATACATACAATATCAGTAATAATCATTGTAAGCGTAGTATTTGTGGTTGTCAGGAGAGTAAAACGGGGGAGAATGGAAAGAAGTAAAACGACAAGTTTAATTGTCTACCCCTCAATGGTATATGGGATTTTAAGGAGATAGGTTATTTGGACTCAGTCCTTGTGCCACTGAATGATTGTCCACCCTTCGCTTGAAGGTGTTCACAGACGGTGCCGTGGCTCTATCTGCCGGTAAAGAGTTCCAGGGACGGTAAACCCGCAGTGATAAGAAGTGGGAGCGCAACCGGGTGCTTGTCCTCTGGTGAGTTATTCTTCGGGAGTTTCCACGGGGAAGCTTATACCTACTCAATGGTAGAACACCCTTCTTTAGGTGATTCTGGCCATTTTTATCTTGTATGCAGTAATCAAATCTCCCTAGGCCGACGGTAGCCAAGTATGAATAGGCTTAATTTCTTTAGCCTTTCATCACGTGATATTCACTCATACTAAGGCATACTTGTTAACTAGCTTAAATACACTGAATCCAGTAAGAATTGTGAATGTCGCAGCTTTAGTGTCTCTTTTCAACATCAAACATTTCATACCGTCAGTGACCTTTAACAGTGCAAACTTTTGTTTAGTCGTTTTGATTTATTCAGATAGCGATAGTAACGCCTCAAACTGCATTTGAATTACAAATGGCTGTGGATGCTGTTCAAAATGTGGAAAATTATATTCGAGATATAGCTAAAGACAGAAAATGTCGGTTTAGTGAAAACTTCTTAGATTTTGACAATTTACGCTCTGGTCGTGTCACAGGTATTTAATATAGTGAGCTTCAATCTTTTAACATGACAGCAAGCCAATTTTTCAGAATCCTACGGAATCTCATTGGTGTCCCGCTTGAAAAACCTCAAGAAGATTTAATTCTTAGAAAATATGGAATCAATGGAAACAAAGATGTAAACTGGAGGGAGTTCGTTAGGGCAGTGGAGGGGAAATTTAATGAAAACGATTTCTCGTTACCACCAGAGTTGAAGGTCCTTCATACAATAGAGTAATTTTGTGATGTTTATATTTACATAAGATCACCAAACTTAGGCACGAAGTCGTATCATCAGTTACCAGGAGATGAGAAGTTTGATTATATACGACCGTTGTTATCAAGAATTAATCAATTTATTGAACAGCAGGGCTATATAATACGGGAGTGTTATAGACAGTATGATATTCACAATATGGGGATAGTAACGGAAAGCCAGGTCTGTGGACGCATACTGTATTATGAAGTAATTTACAGTTTTTTAGAGGATTTCCAGGACCAAAAGATATTAGTGATGAGGAAATTATGGCACTTGTTCAGCGTTACAGATCACTAACTAGTCCCGGATTTGTGGATTACATGGCTTTTGAAAGAGATCTCAGAATGGTTGACTCTAACGAGAAGCTTTCAGTGGAGGGTATACCTCCCACGGTATGCTTACAATTAAACTTTTTATACCTTGCATTTTGGAATGTATGACCAAATATCGTCGTCACTAACTATTTCCAATAATTTTTTGATATTAGCTTATTTCATTAATTGTGATAAATCCTAACCAGTGAACACCTACAGTTTGTTACCCTACTAAGTAATTCAAGAAAATGCATTATTGAGAGTTTTGTAAGCCATATACTTCAGTCATATATATACAACTACTCCTTGTTCACGAAACCGTTTGAAACTTTTATTCCCCCTGTCCTAACCATTATTATTAGAGTAAACGACTTTGCTTAGTCAACTTCCCAATCGTTTTGTGCGACATGTTTAAAAATCTCGTCTTATTCATTCTCGTATATGATCGGAAAGCCGACTAAGCTAATGGAGCCGTTAATTGGTCAACTTTTCAGGAAGATGAAGAATATCATAAAATTGGGAAGAACGCTTTTCGTAACCGTTTAAGCAGCTTGCATCTGCAGTACAGCTGCCCAAGATTCGATCCCAGCCGGGTCTATGATCGACCATAATCTCTCACCACCTCCTCACCACATGATCTCATCCATATCACGCTCGCACCGACGACCCACTCGTCGCTTCCCATTTGGATTCCAGTTGAGAGCCTGGAGCTGGTTGTAGACAGAGTCTTAGAACGACTACAGTTAGCTCGTTTAACACTTTCGACCTCTTATCATCTTTTATGGAAGCATAATTTTAATCTATCCTTCAGAAAGTGTATGTACTATTGATTAGTCCGTCAGATTCTATTTCGAGACTAAGATGTCGTTGAAGCAGGAAGATTTAAAAAGAAAAATGGTTTCCGGTTATGGATGTCTGCATCCAAACTTGCGTGTTCGACAAAGTAACATAAGCAATAGTGAGGCAAAGTGTGAAGTATTAGGTAATAAGGGAAAGCCATTCATTGACGTCACAAAACTTCTACATATCTAGTGGCTAAGACATGTGCTACACTTGTGAAAGCAACTCCATCCTAGAGTAATGCTGTCTAAAATAGGATCGAGTTGAAAGTACATATGGGGTGGCGTGCTCAAAACATAACACTACTACATAAGGTCAGTAATTGTTAGCTTCATGCGCCTAGGTTAGTGTATACTAGTAGACTGTAAACCACCTAAATCCCCTTAGTGAGATGGTTCGAATTCGTTTACTGTAACACAGATGCCTGTATTCCTTTTAATCTTCGTGACCCCGTGAATATTCGCCAATCTTTACTTAACTGTCACATGCTTTGTTCGTTTCCACGCATTTTGATTTTATTATATTCCTTTTCTCTACTTCCGTGTGGACCTTTACTAGGCACTAGAACATTAACCCATGCATTTTCTATATAGAGTTTCGTGTTTTTACTTAGTTCAGTCACTTTTAACATTGAAATAAGCGGACGGCGTGTATTCTACTTCACTCACTTATGACAGATACTGTAAAGAAATCTGGAAAAATTATGCATGCAGATCAACCACCTGATAAGCAGGCAGTTGTAAATAATTGTATCAATCAATATTCATTACAAGCAAACTAATTTTTAGCTACAGATTCCTTTTCGTAAAACAAATACTTTTTAATATATGTGTAAAACTTGGGCACTGTGGTATTAAGTAATTCCATATTAGTTTGATTATTAAATGTATCACATAGTGAAACAGTATTGTATACTGGATGACCCCCCCCCACCCCAAAAGTATGGTGGGGGTATGTAGATGACACATTCCCTGTACTTAGAACACAAGATATAGATAGATTTTTCGAGCACATCAACTCGAAGGTAGAGGCAATTCAATTCACTTATGAATTGGAAAGTCAGGAAGGGGAACTTCCAATGTTAGATTGCAACGTAAAAAGGAAAGAAGATGGGAAGCTAAACACTAGTGTTTACAGAAAACCCAAACATTCAAACAGATATTTGGATTTCCGATCATCCCATCCTATGTCAGTAAAAATAGGATTAGTGAAATGTTTAAATGACAGAGCACAAAAACTAAGTAGTACCAAGGAAAAACTAAGACAGGAAGTGACATACATAAAAGAAGCCTTGAAACTTAACAATTACCCGAATAAATTAGTCAAGAAATATGTAAGTAAATGTAAAAATAAAATAAATAATGATAACAGAGATAGTGACAATAATAATAATAATGATAACAATAATAATAATAATGGTAATAATAATAGTGATAATAATAATAATATTAATAACGACACCAGCAATAAGGAATGTAAATCATCAACAATAATTCCATACAAAGAAGGAACCTCGGAAGCCTTACGCAGAATTCTTAACAAGGCAGGAATAAAAGTGGCATTCAAACCCACAAACTCAATTAGAAACAAGCTTTGTCGGTTAAAGGATCCTGTATAGCCATTAAAACAAAACAATTTAGTTTATCTAATACCCTGCAATGATTGTGAGGTCAAATTATTATTATATATTATTATTGTATCCTTTAGTTCCTAGAGGAACATAGGGCTTCAGCTGCGCACCTCCATTGACTTCGGTTTTTTGACAACTTTTTCACCCTGCTCCAGGTCTGCCCACATGCTTTCATCTCCTCTTCACATGACCTCCTCCAAGTCACCCTTGGACGACCAACTCGCCGCCTCCCTTTCGGGTTCCACTCGAGGGCTTGTCTAGTGATGTCACTTGATGGTTTCCTCAGCGTATGGCCAATCCATCTCCATTTCTTTCTGCCTATTTGTTTCACAATCGGTTCCTGATTGGTTCGCTCCCAGAGATCCCTGTTGCTGATCTTTTCTGGCCATCTGATCTTGAGTATTGAGCGGAGACAGTTGTTAATGAAGGTTTGAAGTTTGTTTGAGATGCTCTTTATGACTCGCCAAGTCTCTGATCCGTATAGTAGCACTGACTTCACATTGGAGTTGAAAATCCGGATCTTATTTTTGATGCTGAATGCTGTTGACCTCCACACAGATTTGAGAGTAATGAAAGCTTGTCTTGCTTTTCCGATTCTGGCTTTGATGTCCTCGTCAGTTCCGCCTGTAGTTGAGACGATGCTTCCCAGGTAGGTGAAGGAGGTTGTTTCTTTCAGGTTCTTCCCATTTATGCTTATTGTGGTCTGTTGTTGCTGTTGATGTTGGCTAGGAATCTTCATCATCTCTGTTTTATCTATGTTCACGTGAAGTCCTATCTTTGATGCTTCTTCTGCCAACTTGTTACTTTTCATTTGCATATCTTCCAGTTTATGGGAAATCAGACATATATCATCGGCGAAATCCAGATCCTCCAAGTCTTTTGTGTCAGTCCATTTTATGCCTGTTCCCTCGTTGGTTGCCGTTGTCTGTCGCATTATCCAATCAATTGCAATCAGGAAGATCATTGGTGATAGTAGACAGCCTTGCCTCACTCCCGTCCTCACTTCGAAGGCTTCCGTAAGTTTCCCGTTGTGGATTACTTGGCATGCAGCATTGTCGTATAACTGTTGGATGAGGTGTATAATTGTCGATGGGACCCCGTAGTAGCGAAGTAGTTTCCAAATGACCTCTCGATCGACGCTGTCGAAGGCCTTTTCAAAGTCGATGAAGTTGAGATAGAGAGGTGACTGCCATTCCAAGCTTTGTTCAATGATGATCCGTAGAGTGGCGATTTGATCAATACATGATTTGTTTCTCCTGAATCCAGCCTGTTCCGGACGAAGTTTTTCATCTAGGGCTTGTTTGATTCTCTCCAGGATGATGCGACTTAGTATCTTGCTTGGAATGGACAGAAGCATAATTCCACGCCAGTTTTTACATTGACTTAAGTCTCCTTTCTTTGGAAGTTTGAATAAGTAACTGTTCTTCCAATCCTCGGGTACTTTGCCCTCTTTCCACACCTTCTCCAGTAGTGGTGTCATCAAGTCCGCTGTTGTCTCTGGGTCTATTTTCAAAGCCTCTGCTGGGATTCCATCTGGTCCCGGTGTTTTCCCAGTTTTAAGCATCTTGATTGCATTCAGGACTTCTGATTTCGTCGGGGGGTCAGTGTTCACTGGTAGTTCTGCTTCCGTTGTTGGTATTGCTGGACGTGTTGTAGGTGGCGGACGATTTAGAAGTCTTTTGAAGTGTTCAACCCAGTGCTTTCTCTGTTCCACCTCTTTGGTGATTGACTTTCCATTGTCGTCCTTTATTGGCTTAATCTGTGTCGAACGTTTGCCCGAAAGGTTCCTAGTTGTTTGGTAGAGTGTGGCGAGGTCTCCTTTGCCTGCAGCTTGTTCTGCTTCGTTTGCCATGGTTTCATAATATTTTCTTTTGTCTTCCCTGGCACTTTTCTTCACTCTTTTGTTCAGTGTATTGTAGCTTGCATTCAGCTCCTGTTTTTGTTGCTCGTCGGTGCACTGGATAATCTTTTGCTTCACTGTCCTTCTCTCTTCTATTAGTTTCCAAGTGTCCGTAGTGAGCCACTGTTTGTCCTGTCTCTTTTTTCTGCCTAGAATTTCTATACAGGTTTGGCTCCACACCGTTTTCAAGTTGTTCCAGTGCTTTTCAACGCCAAATACATAGGTCAAACTAGTAGAACAGGGACAGTCAGACTAGCTGAACATAAAAACTTAGCAAAATCTAGATTGGTTGACCCAAATAAGATAAGAAATCTAGAGAATAGTTCAGCTATAGCACTACATGCAGTTACACACAACCATACAATAGGATGGGATAGGATGACAGTTTTAAAATCTAATGTCACAGGGTATAGGGAGAGATTGATAACAGAAGCTTTGTTTATCGAATCAACTGCAAATACATGTAACAGGAATGATTCAACACCTGTCCCAGATATATGGAAAATTCTACTGCCCATACAACAAATAGGAGAAGACAGAGAAAACTATAAAAATCAAATCTCGAAGTCGCGTGACAAAAATTGATGTGATTATGAACAATAAATTGTGTTCGAAACGTCATCCAGTATACAATACTGTTTCACTGTGTGATACATTTAATAATCAAACTAATATGGAAATACTTTTTACACGTAGCCTTATCCGAAAATCATTGTGGAATTTTGCTCGAAAGCTAATCAAAGATGCGTGAAACAGAACGATATTAGTAAATTTGAGAAAGATGTATGAAAGTGAAAATATTTTCATGGAGTTATTCCATATTAGTTTGTTTATTAGATGTATCACACAGTAAGAGAAACAGTATTATTTACTGGGTACCAATGTTTTGAACAAAATTTATTCTTCATAGTCATTTCATCAATTATAATCACAAATTCGAAACTTGAGATTTACAGTTTTCTTGGGGTAGTAGAATTTTCCAAATATCTGGGACAGGTATTGAATCATTCCTATTACACGTGTTTGCAGTTGATTCGATAAATGAAGCTTCTGTTATCAATCTCTCCCTACACCCTGTGACATTAGATTAGATTTTAAAACTGTCATCCTCTACCGCCACCCTGTATTGTACGGTTGTGCGTACTTGCATGTAGTGAGTGATATAGCTGAACTATTCTCTAAATTTCTTATCTTAATAGGGTCAAAAAATCTAGATTTTGCTAGGTTTTTAAGTTCGGCTAGTCTGACTCACTGCCCCTGTTCTACTACTTTGACCTATGTATTTTACCTGACAGTCATTCTAGTAGGCTATTAGATAAACTAAATTGTTTTGTTTTGAAGGCTCCACAGGATTGATGCCCTAACCGACAAAGCTTGTGTCTAATTGAGTTTGTGGTTGGTTTGAATGCCAGCCACTTTTATTCCTGCTAGCGTTGTTAAGAATTCTGCGTAAAGTGGTTTCCGAGGTTCTTTCCTTGTGTGGAATTACTACTGATGATTTAGATTAGGAGAGAACAAAGTAAACTGTAAAACTCAAGTTTTTGGAAGTCGTGTGGTTATAATTGATGAAATGATTATGAAGAACCAATTTTGTTCGAAACATTGCCAACAAGTAAATAATATTGTTTCACTGTATGATACATCTAATAAACAAACTAATATGGAATTACTTACTACCACAGTGCCCAAGTTTTACATATATCTTCATGAAGATGTGACAGAGATATTCACACCTCAAATGATAAAAGGTGTATACATATTCAGCAGTGTAAGAATCTTTCGGACATTTCAGAAATAGTCTCAACCTCTCAAGGATGACATGGAGGTAACAAAAATCCTCTTCATGATCCACTCAAGCAGTCTCCGACTTCACAAATTTATTTATCCTGGTATCCTGCTAGCGGCATATTTAAAATGGGGAAATAAGCAAAAAAAATCAGGAAAATTCAACAACCAACTATGCGTTTAAAAAGTAGCTAGATGCAGATAGGGATAAAAATAACTAGTCACTCAGTTTTAGTTGGTTTTCAGTGACTTTAGTATCTCTGTTGCCTAAAAGTAGCCTCCAAAAGTATTTTAGTATTATTATTGTTCCCTTGGGTTCCTAGAGCTTCAACTGCACATCTCCACTTGCTTCTGTCTTCTGCTGCACTTTTCACCTGCATCCATGTTAGTCCATACTGTTGCAATCCCTCTTCACACGATCTCCTCCATGTCACCCTTGGACATCCCACTCACCGCTTCCCTTTCAGGTTCCACCCGAGCAATGGCCGGACGCGCGTGCGATGTAACCAACCGGCCTCCTCAACGAGTGTTCAGTCCATCTCCACTTTTTCCTGCTTATTTGTTGGTTGGCGATTGGTTCTTGCTTTGTTTGTTCCCATAGTTTCTTGTTCGTGATTCTTTCCGGCCCGGCCCGGCCATCTGATCTTCAGTATAGAGCCAACGAAGACAGTTGTTGATAAGGGTCTGCAATAGCCTGTTGGAAATATTCTTTGTGACCCGCCCGCCAAGTTTCTGATCCATATAGAAGAACTGACTGACTTGACGTTTGTATTGAAAATCCAACCGAATTTTGGTTGTTGATGGTGAGTGACGAAGATTTTCAGATTGGTTTCAGGTTGATTGATGAATGTGTTTCTCGCCTTCCCGATTCTCGCTCGATTTGACATCCTCGTCCATTCCGACTTCCTGTGGTTGAGACAATGCTCCCTAGATAAGTGAGTGAATGAAGTAACCTCTTTCAAATCCCTCCCGTTGATCGTGATGGTGATTGGCGCTGGGTGTTGCTGCTGTTGTTGTTGGTTCGTAAGTATTTTAGTATTACTAAATCCCAAAATGTCTTTTACTAAACTGAACTTGTCATTGTTCCAAATGTTACATCAAAAAATAGCTTTTTGCACACTGATTTTTTGGTTGCTTTGAAATTTCGAGCCATAATTATCTGTTCAGTTTTGTTTTGCATAGACTGACAATAATTAGTCACTTTCTTGCTTCATTTCTGCTTCAATGTCTGACATGAAATAATTGTATAAGGGATAATATTTCCTGTTGTTAAGTAAGCTGGAGACAATAGGTGAAATGGCTCAAAATTCTTGTCAATGGCGCAGATGTATTCAGTCTCCGTAATCTTTCATATTACTTTCTACCATTACCCATTCTGTTTCACTCTTGTACTTGTCACTTATCTTCTTGTCTACCTTTTGTGCTATTTGGAACGTGGCAACTCGAACTGCCGCACATCGGTACCATGTTCTATGTTGAATCCGGACAGGCAGAGAAGCTGGAGACACTATTTTCTTAGGAAAAAAGGAAAAAAGCGACAGCCAACCTGTTATGTATCCTTCTTTGTCCTTTTGTGTCCTTTTGCATGACACCAATTTATTTTTTGATACGACTGCCTTATTCTTTTGGAAACTTGGCGTGACACATCATCATGAACTGTGAATTCTTTGCAGTCGTTTATATTTCAGGACTACCTATTAATCTGTAAGTTCCAATAGGAGTGACTGTAATAACTTAGAAACGTTTGTCTTCGTTTATATTATTGCCTTAGGATAATGTATACTGTACGAGTCAACGATTAATGTGCCTGTTTCTATTCGACAAACATCTTATTTTAATGGAAGAGAAAGCTACTCGCTTAACCACTTCATTTTACTACAGAATCGTAAACTCCAGTTTCTATCTACAGTTTGTTTCGTGTGATAGGTTTTGAATTTCCTGTGTTCTTCAGACTTCATAATTCTATGTAGTAACCGTTAATAAGTGCATAAATATGAAATTAAAAACTGAAAATTGCTGTTTTACTGTTATATTTGTTGTGCTAGATAAGTACAAAGCAGAAACCATGCTGCTTCATAAGAACAAATAGTTAAATTTTGCTCATATATATATCATATCACGAGAGAGACTTTTTAATTATCCTTCTTTTACAGAAAAAAAGAAACCGAGTATATCTATCGAAAGGAAGAATTGTACAATCCATCACAGAGTATGATTGTTGACCGGATAAAGTTTGCTGTACGCAATCGTGGTATACGTGTAATGGAATTTTTTGTCGACTATGATAAACTTAGACACAATGAAGTGACAGAGCACCAGTTTATCTGCGCATTACTATCCGCTGTTGGCAAAGAAGCTCAACTAAGCCGGGGAGAAGTTCAGATGCTTGCAAATTACTATCGGTCGAAAAGAGATCCACAAATGATTAACTATCGTGAATTTTGTCGAGAAATTGATTCACGTAAGTTGTAATATGATGTTGTGATTTTGGTTCACTGAAAGAAAAATAATGGATGAATAAATAAACTGATGTCAACTCATCATGATGAAATCCTCCAACCAATCAAACAAAATTCCCTACAAAACAAATACTTCAAAATTTATCTTATGTTCACTAGTGACTGGCCATATTCAGGGAGTTACCTGGGATTCTAGTGGGAAGTCGCGACCAGTGCGCCAAAGCAGGTTGAAGATGAGGCAGTAACTCATCAAAGAAGACACTGCGAAGTGGTGGCGCTATGTCATGAATTGGCAGAAGTTATAATTCATGGGCTGGCTATTGGATGGGGTGGATCCCAGTGTCTTAATGGTCTACGAGCTAGCTCGCCTTGTAACCAGAAGATCGTGGGTTGGAACGCTGCTGGTGGGTGCGTACTGACGAATAGCTGTACTTCTTGCGGATTTCCCAATGATTCTGTAACTGATGTTAACTCATGCTGAAGCCCTCCAACACAAGCAAACACAATCCGTTTATTTAGTCAGACAGAATTCCACCCCTTTTATTATTTCCTCTACGGACAACAACATATTTCACATTCGAAGGAAAAATATACCAACAAAATGAGGGAGTAGCTATGGGATCGCCTATCTCACCAATTATAGCTGACATATTCATGGACTACTGGGAGGAGAATGCCCTTAAATCATTCAGATCATCACTAAAATGTTGGTGGAGATATGTAGACGACATACTAGTAATAGTGAAAAAAACGATACTGAGAAACTTTTCTCACACATAAACAGACACGTCGACTCAATAAAATTCACTATGGAATTAGAGAATGAAATTGGAGAACTGCCCATGTTAGACTGCAAACTACAAAGAATGACAGATGGTAGCATAAAAACAACGACATATAGAAAAGCCACACATTCTGGAAGATTCCTTGATTATCACTCAGCTCATCCACTCACGGTAAAACGAGGATTAATACAAGGTCCTGCAGATAGAATACGTAGACTGACAACAACACCAGAGGACCATCGTAAAGAAATAAAAGTCCTATTCAAAATGCTACTCGAAAACAACCACCCTAGAGAATTTATAAAAGATAATATAAAAAAGATGGTAAAACTGGAGAATAACAAGATGGAAGAATGGAAAAAAACAGTCACAATACCATATAAAAATGGTACATCAGAGGCAATTCAAATCAAAGAAACCTCAAAAATATCGGCATTCGAACAACGTTTAAACCGACGAATCTAATCAAAAATAAATCAACCGAAAGATCCCATAAAAATAATGGATAAAAACAATTTGATTTATAAAATATCTTGTGCTGACTGTCTAACTAAATATGTGGGCAAACGTCCAGATCACTCAAAATAAGAGTGAATGAACATAAACGCCTAACTAAAGGTCAACTTACAGGGACACAGGCCTACAAAAATCTTGAAAAAAATTCATCGATAGCTGCACATGCATGAGACAAAAACACAATATCGATTGGGACAATGTGTGTATTCTAAAAACAAACATGAACAAATGGAAAGAAAGACTCATAACAGAATCGATATTCATTAAAGTCACACTGGATACATGTAACAAGAGTGACTCAGTACAACTATCAACAACTTGGAATATAATTATAAATACAAACACACGAATGAATGTGGAATATAATTCTGAACACACATAAAACATGAATGAGCAAAAAAAATAATAATGAACTATATATATGAGTACAAATCATAAATGTGTGAATAAAGCAATTCCAACAGTGGTGTGAACACGAGCAGTAATTTTGCTCGAAATATTACCAATAACAAAACTTATAATTTGTAAAAAATTATATTTGTAAAATCTCAGCGAAATTGAAATGATTAATTCCAACGTTTCGTTCGGCAATCTGATCCGAACTTCTTCAGGGAAATTAATCGAAATTAACATAACAGAGGTTTAAATATAAAGGGAACATCTCTTATTTTTAAAAACTTTGTCCAATCATGAGTCATAAAACAGGCATCAACATGTACAATAAACAAAATTGTACGAGTCGTGATCCAAATTTGACCTCAAACTTACAAATATTGATCTACCTTTGTTAAACACTTTCAACACAGTGTGTATGTGTGTGTGTGCGGATAAACAGTTGTAAAACAATGTCTTAACGTCTCCATAAGTAGATATAGACAGTCGGGAACTTTGATCAAGTATTATTAGTTAGTGATACATATCCATTCTTATTTATTAATCAGGATTTTCTATACGTCATCTAACATCACACCTTCATGTCTGTTCAAACTGTTAGTATCTAGAATTTTATGATTAGACGTATTTTCAAAATTATGGTGTTTAGGATTAGAGTTTAGTTGAAGCACCCTGTCAAACTTATTACCTTGTCTTCTTTCTGAAAATTGAGCTGCTTTATTCGACCTACTGAAAACTCATAATTGTGTGTAAACTATTGAAATATAATTATACTTTATTTGATCTAATCCACAATGCTCAAACTTTTTACTGATATTAATATATGAACATATTTTTGTATGTGTCTACATTAGGTTTGTCTGATAATAATAAAAATAAGTTAGGGTTACTGTTGCCAAGATATTTTAAAAATGTGATGAGTAGTCAAATTGTAACTGCGAGAGGGGTGATGAAGATTGGTAAGAAGTTGCCTAAGCGTAATACAGTTATTTAATGAGTGAGTTGTGATTATGATTCACACAGAAACAAAGGAAAATACTCAATAATGTAAGAGTTTTAAAAAATTACAAATGTTGTTAGGAGTTCAAAAAAACAAGCACACAAAAATCAAGTCAGTAATTTTTTTTTTACTATACTTTGGTTTGTAAGGGTTAGTTGTGTTTTAACTAGTTGACCACGGATTGATATCAGTTAGAGAAGCATTGAAAACCAGGGAGTACTGGACAGCTGCTGTTTCATCCTAGTTTGGGAGTCATCGGCAGTTAACACGGTTTTTACCATGACAGTAGAAGTGGTTGGATGACTTTGCTTGTGTACTTAACTTTGGTTTCTTCAACTAAGTGGCTAAGGCTACAGTAATACAAAAAGGACGAAAGCGTATTGCCTTTGGTAGGTTGTTCCTCACTTTGTAGATCCCTTTGAAGAAGGCGTTCGTTTAGATGGAATGACCAGTTTTTTATGAGATGTTCGATTATCTCACTCCTTATACAGCCACTTTTATAGCTATATCTATTCTCTGGATATACCTGGATATGTTACTTTTTCTCAGTAAGCTGAAATTTCACGATATATTCTATTCACTCAATCTATCTTATAACATTTCGCAAATTTTGGCCACATCAGTTTCTACTCTTCCTTAATATTCCTATTTTAGTGTTCAGAAATAAGGGGTTACAATGCCACATTCCATTCTGATGTTGCTTATTTGTTTCACTTCTTGAGGATAATCAACTGATCTCTGATTTCAAAATAGCAAAAATATTCATTCAGGCATCTATAAAACACAAAATAATTGACCAAAGAATATCCTTTTCGATAATTTCCTCCTCTTCTGGCTCTACAATTATAGTTATATATGTTTATATACATAGAATATTCTAGATTAGTAGTTAATAACAATATTGGTGTTTTTCAAATAATGTCGATTTGTAAAGTAAGATCACAATGGAATTACAGTTCACTAAAGATGCTTAAATTATAATAACAATAAAGATATAATAGCAAATAGAATATCAACTAAAATTAAGGGAATTTCTATAAAACTGAGAATAATTCAAACCTAGATGGTTTGGATGTGGTGGAGAAATCTAAAAGCTCACCTTCAAACTGAAGAATGCGGTGAAGATGTAGCCTAGTAGGGCGATGAAAGCTTCGCAAATTAACCATCCAGCTTAGAGAACACAACCACATCCAAACCATCCACCTGAGCTACAAATCTTCTCTATCATATTTAAACCCGTGAGTCGGTGGAAGAGCGGTTAGGACGCTCGCCAACCATGTACATGGTCCGGGGTTCGATTCCCGGTCGACTCACTCCTTTACCTCGCTAAGCCAGAAATAAAAAAGCTGGCAAAGAGGAAATGTTGGGCGTGAGGCTAGCAACCCCATCCTGTAAAATAAACATTGCTACAGAAACTTCAAGCCACTAGCTGGAAGCCCTATATTGCACTGGGGAACGTGAAGGAGAATAAAAAAGAATATCTAAACCTAGATGACCAAGGCAAGGATAATGTCTGAACCAACCAACTTCTTTTGGATGCACAAATTAGGCTTCTTGATATGGATCCCAACGGCCAGCTTCAGCAATATTTAGTAATTGAACTCTTAAGGCGAAATTAACATTTGTTGGTTTGCGGTAAATGACTCTGAAAGCCTCCTTGTTAACATCAATCTTGTGTTCCGTATCCACAAGATAGAATAGAATAGCGCTATGAATATATTTTGTTTGTATATAAACATATATATATATATAATTATAGAGCCAGAAATTATCAAAAAAGGATATTCTTTGCTCAATTATTTTGTGTTTTATAGGTCTCTGGTTTGTTCCTTAAAGCAAAGCAGTCATTAGAGGGAATGTGTTGCGGCTTTGATGCTACTGTACCGGTTTGTTTTTACCTATACATTTTGTGCTGACACCGTGTTGTTGTCTAGACAACGTACACAAGACTAAGAATTTCAATTCTAAATGTCTGATCAGTTTATGCTTGCTTTATCGTCATCATCCATAATGCCTATTCACTGGACTGGATATAAATATTTAGCACTCTCGGACTGACTGACTGTGAACCTCTGGAAGATTGAAGACTTTTTGATATTGCAGTTCACTATCATATCAACAAGACTGCAGCTGGAAATTACAGAACAAAAGACAATTAATAAGTTTACTTTGATTCTTCGATACCATGATTTAACTGTTCTGTCCGACAGTCAAACTTTTCAGCATCATTCTTCAAGTCAAAAGAGATGGTATCAGAAGCCTCAAGCATATTTCTAATCCTTTTCACCTTCTAATAAAGTATAAGTGATGCGGTTAATATTACTGCCTTCCGATTAGAAGAATAATATTCCACAGGCAGCTTTTGTACCTCAGTAACTACTACTCATTAACTAATTATCACTAATTAATATGGAATAGTCAAGTGTTGGTTTGTAGGGATTTGAATGATTGGTTACAGGATTTCATCATGAGCTGACGTCAGTTAGAGAACCACTGGAAAACCTGTAGAGAGTATTGAACAGTTGTTTCCGTTGTCCTAGTCTGAGAGCCTTCAGCAGTACGCACCCACCGTCAGGGTTCGAACCCAGGACCTTCTGGTTAGAAGGCTAGTGAGCTAGTAACCATTAAGCCACTGGGGCCCGATCCAATGGGCTATGAATTACAGAATATAGACATTTGATCATAGGGAATAAAAAGACAGTTGCAGGCAGAGTGTTTGGACAAAGAATTGTTGTTATTTCTAAATTTCCAACCCCTAATTGCACAATATGTCAATCTTCTCAGTAATTATGATGCTACTGTGTCTGATCTTTATTCGTCCCCTTGTTTATTATGTCATTTTAATTCCTAATTGTAATTCTATTGATCTGACCCTTGACCAGAAATTATTCTGGAACTTTCTTTTTTTTTTTTTTTTTTTTTTTTTTTTTTTTTGATTACAGCTTGATTCCACACTGTATTTTTGGTACAAGTATGGAATTTTCAGCATGGATATCGGTAGCCCAAATTTCGCAGGCCGACCATAGATATCAGGTGTGCGTCGGCGTGGGCTCGAACCCCGGACCATATGCATGGTCAGCGAGAGTCCACCCATTTATTATAAATACACGAATGTACAGCCTCCTAGTTGATGACTTCGTCGAAAAGAAAATTTTCTTCGCTGCAACTGTCATTTTAGGTCCATGAATTCCAACTTCTTCGAAAATAATAACAAGATCATACTGGAAATTTCGGAACAGCATGATTAAAACGTTTACTAAGAGCCCTAAAAATAACAGAGAGAGAGAGAGTAATTTGTAACTAGGTTTTGGAATTCGCCCTACTACTTTATCCATATTTTGTCCCCTAATGTTGAAAATCATGTTCTGATTTACTTTTCAGAATAACCCAATAATTAGTGTATATATGTGAGAGACAGTGGGATAACATTACACTTTCATCTTGTTCCTTTCCAGCTTTCCATACGCTAGACTTAGAAAAAGATCCGTTGAAGCGAATAAGTATGCCGTCGACGGGTGCACTTTCAAAGGTAAGCGGGACGAACTGATCCAATCTGCCACATGCTAGCATGCCTGTTTAACGGTTAATAAATATATTAGTGTTCACACTGCTTTACATATTTTCACTTACCAAAATTCACACCGATAAAACTGTATTCTGCTTTTATAAATCTGTGCAACAACTTTCTGATGTCTTGTGTTGTCTCAATGACTGGTTATAAGGCTGATTTTATGTTTTAATTTGACAGGGTTTTATTCAACTGCTGCCTAACATGGAGCAGCTATTACAATTTGATTCATATTCAGTGGTAACCAAATTCTTTGGATACGAATCTGCTTTTGTTTGAATTCACAATGAAGTAGGTGGACCAAATCTGCAGAAACTCAGGAGACTATCTGTACAAGTTGCTATTTTGAAGAGAGAATCGACCTCAACAAAAAATTGTTTTTCAGTTAAGTAAAACGTTTGAAATATTGAATAAACAAATCAGCGGCGAATTATGTCCAGGAGCAGGGCTTTCTCCATATATAGATGACTAAACCACTATATAGACCACTTTTGTTGAACAATACTCGAAAGCTGAGGAATATCATAGAACAGTATGATGGAATTACTCTGTTACTCAACCAGTTTAACTATTTCTACAAATCTGGCAGTCTTTTTAAATACTTCATATATCTGGTTCCTTTGATAAATGCTCTATAAAGAAAGGAAGAAGAAATCTGCAGTATAAAATGATATCATCGTTCTATTTCACAGGTTCTCATCATCTGCACAACCCTACCTGAAATTACAATGGTTATATGCGTGATAATAACATACTTTAATGTTTGAGTGGTAGTATAGAAGAGATACTATCAAACTGACGCATCCAAAATGATGAAAGCATTACAATTTCTTTTAGTTTAAGTTTTCGTCATCAATTTATACGCTTTTAAAGTTGGAAAGAGGGGCCGGGGACAAGTAAGAGAGAAAACAGAAAATATTGATTAACAGAACAGTGTTAGCTTGTAGCCTGTTCACATAGCAACTCCAAAAGTGAAAGCGATTACAGTTTATGAGATTATGATTTGTTAAGTGAGTTGAGATCACTGAATTAGATGACTAATTTGTGTAATCAATTTGTCTCTCATTCAGAAGAGATGCAGTGTCACAAAAGATTGACAAAAAACTGAAAGATTCAATAAAAAGAAGCTTCCCGACAGCAAAACTCATAATACCATTCAGCATCACTTCTTCTATAAGCCAATCAAAACTGGATAAATACCCTGTTGATTTCACCTCCAACTGCGTTTATGAATTTACATGAACTTGAGGGAGCAGGTACATTGAGAGGACGGAAAGATGGGCTTCTATCCTGTTTTCTGAACATATTCCATGAAACCTGTGCCTGAAAGGAAGCAAATATTCTCAGAGTGCGGTTACCAGACATATTATTGATACCGGACATCTCGTAGAGATTTCTAAGTCTTTCAAAATATTAAATAGACAAAGGGCAGCAAATTTATTACGATTTACCGAAGTGATGGCAATCAAACGATCTAAACCAGACTTATCCATACAGAAAGAGAGTGTGATTAACCTCTCACTCCTTTGGTAACTGAATTTTGATTTTGATTACACAAATCAGTCATCGAATTCAGTGATCTCAACTCACTTAACAAATCATAATCTCATAAACTGTAATCGCTTTCACTTTTGGAGTTGCTATGTGAACAGGCTACAAGCTAACACTGTTCTGTTAATCAATTTTTTCTGTTTTCTGTCTTACTCGTTCCCGACCCCTCTTTCCAACTTTAAAAGCGTATAAATTGATGACGAAAACTTAAACTAAAAGAAATTGTAATGCTTTCATCATTTTGGATGCGCCAGTTTGATAGTATCTCTTCTATACTACCACTCAAACATTAAAGTATGTTATTATCACGCATATAACCATTGTAATTTCAGGTAGGGTTGTGCAGATGATGAGAACCTGTGAAATAGAACGATGATATCATTTTATACTGCAGATTTCTTCTTCCTTTCTTTATCGAGCATTTATCAGTATTTGAATTTTCTACAAACGGTCGCTTCATTAGCCTCACAAATACTTCTCATGATTTTTATTAGGAAGTTAAGGATATGCTACTTATTTCACCAGAATCAAGTGGTGGCAGATTATAATTTTATTGAGAAAAAATAAAATAATAAATTATCACGCAGAATTACAAATAATAAGTAGAACTATAAAAGACAAATTAGTGAAGGCATAATTCATCGTCGTAATTTCAAACCTTATCTCAACAGCATTAGGGAAAAAGGCATCAATACGACGCTTTTACAGCAGCAAGCATTATTCCGAAAGCCGACTCACCCTAATCGTAGCCTGCTTTTCCAGTAGATACTGGCGAAAAATAACTTCTCTTGTATCATTAACCGATCGCTTACTTTCTTCCTTCTTTCAAAGTCTTTATAACCATTGTTCTTAAGTATTTCATTCAATTTTAGATTTCCTCGAATTGCTTGGTCTCAGGTTGACATGTCGGCTTCTTGTGCAGATGCTTCGACGATGTCTGGGCATGCAGTTAGAAGTTAATTGATGGAAGGTGACTAGCAGTGGAATCCAGGATGCACGTTTCGTCATATTTGGGACTCGTCGTCTAGACGCACCTGCATTGGGCTCGAGCCTCGGTGGGAACACCATCACTCACTGAGGAATGCAGGTGCATCCAGTTGACGATTCCCGAATAGGACGAAATGCGTATTCTGGATTCCACTGGTAGTCACCATCCATCAGTTCAATTGTCCTTAAGTGTTTAAGAACTGCGCAGAAATATCGTCTGTCTAAAACTTTATGCTATTTATATTTCAGCACTATCTAACGCCAATGTTTATACCGCTACAGAGGTTATCTAACACAGGGAATCTCAGTATTTTAAAAATGGAGGAAATTTTCATATGATCATTACTCCCATTTAAAAACAATATACTCTGAGGGTGTTGCTTTCATTTTCATAAAGCTTTTTGGTTGTAACAGCTCGGTAGGCTTAGAGAAGCTGGTAACCCTTGCCTGAATCAGCTTTTATCTATATATGACATCTCGTGCTGGATGTTTATTTTTTGCTGGAAGTGATGATAGGAAATAATTGTGGGGGGAATGAAAGTTATTTTTACTGAATATCTATCTGCAATCAGTTATGATCAGCTTGAATTAAAGCCTAGGTAGGCTTTCAGAATACTTGAAAAGGTCGAAAACAATAAACAGCCTCAAGTACGTGAATTCTGGCGACTACTTCAGATGTATGCACAAACAAGCAATAACCCTTTTGAAATGAATGGATGTGCATCAATGATGATAATGTAACAACAGAAGACAAGGGTCAGGCAACAGATCGTTTATTATGGAAATCAACACATATTTATAGATTTTCATTTACATATTATAGATTATTGTTAGCAGAAAAACACAGTCCTCTGATCGGTTGTTTCTCAGAGAAAGTTAACCTTAAATTTCTTTGTGGTTATTTCTTGAATGTCAGGTCATCTATATGTTAACTGTATCCGCCTACGCAAAGCCTTCGTTCTCATTTTTCTTACGACCAATATTGGGGACATAAACATTGACGTAAATTACTGTCCACCAATTTTGACTAACAGCGAGCTCTCACCACAATAGGAGTTACTTGTTGCACATAAAAAAGTGTTGGCTAAAAAGCTAAACCGTCATTTTCTCTCTCACTCTCATTAGGCTTTGTGTGTGCTAAGTCCTGAAGAAGAAGATCGTGTATCCAAGCTACTTGAAGAAATAAAGAGTAAAGTTCGCGAGAAACGAATTCTAACATATCCATATTTTCGAGATTATGATTTTGTAAGTCTGTTATCCAATTTCAAAAGTCTGTTACCTATAAAAGTACTGACAATTGTATTTTATAGTAATAATATTTAAACAACTCTGTCGAATGGTAACACCTTACACCATAGGTAGACAGCAATCTTTTGTTTAAAAAATGGCAAAAATGTTTTGTAGGGATTGTGTTTGATTGCTTTGAAGGTTTTATCATGAGCCGACATCAGTTAAAGAGCCATTGGAATCAATGTGAAGCTCACTAGTGACTGGCCATATTCAGGAAGTTAACCTCTGGTTATATAGGGAAACCGTGACCAGTATGGTACCGCAGTTTGAACGTGAGGCAGTAACTCATCGAAGAAGACATTGCGAAGTGGTCGCGCTATATCACGAACTGGCAGGAGTTGGAATTCATGGGCTAGATCGTGTTTTTTTATATTTCCCAATGAATGAAAACAAAACGATATTGTTGTTTTTACTGAAAAAATGAACACCGTAAAGCATCTTTTTGACCACCTGTTGAACTAGAAAAGCTCGAAAAATCATCAGCCAGTCATGGCTCGTCTACACGCCATAGAATCAGGCCACAAAATTGATTTTGACAATATTGAATTAATCCAGAAAAAGCATTTCAGAAATCACAAAGAACGTCTCATATCAGAAGCACTTCACTTCAAGTGGATTCCAAATCCCCTGAATAGGAATGATGGACTAAAACAGAATCTGACCTGGTTACAACACCCCCACCCTCCCCCATGAGGTGACAAAATCAACACGAATGTGATAAACAATTTCATTATGTAAACACACTTATCAAATCTAACAATCCACACCTGGTTTTATTATCTTTACCAAATGGCCAATTTGACAACGAAAAATGGCACCCTGCTGAGGAACGATGATTAAGTTGTTATAAATCTGCTGAGTGGATTTTTGTAAATTCTGGTTTAATAACAATACTTAGATAAAACTATTAGGAGCAGCATTGAATAGCGAAACGTCAGTAAAAACAACGATATCGTTTTGTTTTTCATTCATTGGGAAATACAAAAAACCTTCATTACAATGAATATCATGTGCCTAATGCCCAAATTCTCCCAAACTGTTAAAAGTGAATTTGGTTTGTACATTTGGAAAAAATCTATGGCCTTAATGCTGATTTAAACATAAATGCATCTGATTCCCTTAATGGAAAACCAAAATCACCATAAAACAATACTGCGAAAAATAGGGTGAACACGTTTTTGTTGGATTGAAGTTAATGTCCTTGGGGTCCTAGTGGAACGTAGGAATTCAGTAGCTCATCTCTGTTTCAATGTGCCCTCGCCAGTCGTTTTAAGGTGATTTCACAACTGCGCATGAGCTTCCACCTCCTCCTACTCCTGCTCCTCCTCCTCACATGATCTCCTCCACGTTACCGTCAGATCGAGACCCAAGTCATCGTTTCACACTCGATTTTCGAAAACAAATAGAAGGTAGAGCAACTATAATAGAGGGAGAATTAATAAAATGGAAACAGTCCAGTGGTTATTGGTAAGCTTTTTCAGAATATGGAAGGTGACTTCGATTTATTATAGCTGCTACGGTATAAACAGTTTTCAGACATATTATAAGGAGTCGCCAACTGCCGGCTCTTACTACCCTACAGATCCCGACTTGACCCACATCAATAGCCAACAACCTCACAAACTGCTTCTATGTTATAGTGTGACCACTTTCAACTCTTTATTAACCCAGTTATGTATCGTCTAACGTAGTTTGTCAAAGGAAAAGGGCGGTTCCTAATATGTAAGACATGTACTAGCCACTTAAATCAATAAAGTTTACAACGTGATTGCTTGACTTTCTCTCCTTACCTTATACTGTACGTTCAATCTCGTTATTACATATCACATTGCTCCACCCAGTATGAGTGAGGGAATGAAGGCTCCTGCGGTTTTTATTCTATGCTACTTCTGACCTAAATCCTGTATTTTCATCTGGTGATTATGGGCAAAAATTAGAGACTAGAATAGAACTATTAGTAGAAATCATAGGGTTAAAAAATTACCTCTTATAGAAGTCAGACAGAAGAGAAGAGACGAAGGGGGGTTTAAAAGATGTTAATGAAGTTAGAAGATCAAGAGTTATTAAGGAATGATTTACCAGGGTAATTGGAGTAAAATGACAGATTCCCTTGAATATATAGGTCAGGTTTCAGCTGTTTTGTTGGGATAGCCTCAGCAAAGCAAAGAAGACTTGAGCTATTTTGTCTGTTAATTATTTTGAATGATGCCAGTGCGTCTACTCGGTGTCCAGCGTGTATCAGGTGTTTGGTAATTGAAGAACTTGTACGACTTGGTCCCTCCAACCGGAAGATCCTCGGTACATGCTCGAAGAATTTGACGTAGGCCCTTCTTTCTGTTCGTCCAATGTAACTGTTCCAGCAAATACAAGTGAATTGGTATATACAGTTGGAGGTAACATGTAATGAGTATTTGTCGATCTTTGACTGCACCAACGTAGAAGATGTTCGGAGCAGAGATATTAGATTTGCTGCAAGACGTGACCTGGACAGGGTTGTGCTTAATTCTTTATTTATAATTCTAATATTATTATCGCCTTTGAAGTCAAGTTTGATGAAGACTGGCTTCTCACTGACAGTAGGTTCAGCGAGTTTCTCACTTTAATCCTTACCATATTTGTTAATCAAACTTTGTGGATAACCATTTTCTTTTAAAATTTCTCAAGCATCGTTAGTTCACTGTCTAATTTATCAGTTGAACATATTCTTTTAGCTCTGAATAAAAGTGTTTTCACTAGTGTTCGTTTTTAACTGACAGGGGGCAGAAGCTGTTGGAGTTTAAGTAGACATCGATCCATATGCCGTTACCATATATAGATCCCACGAGAGTCTCATCCAATTTTCTCTCCATGTTTATATCTTGAAAGTGGAAATTATCAGCGTCTTCATACTCCATCGTGAAAATGATGTTCTTATGTACATTGTTCAATAAGCCCAGTAGGGAAGAAGCGTGACTCAAGCCATTGCATACACTGAATGCGTCGTCTACTTATCTGTAGTAGGCTGTTGTTTCACCAACTGCGCACTTGAGTTTGATCTGTTCTAGATTGACCATAGACACTTCATCAACGTGGCGATACATAATAAGAGAAGCTGCCTTAAATTCTAGTTTTGGCAGAGGAAGCAAGTCAGCATGTTGACAGATTATGTATAAAGTCTCATACAGTGGGACTTGTGTGTGTGAATAGGGAAGTCACACTGAAGGAGACCATGAGTTTATCACGTACATTAAGTTTACTCACTGCTTCAATGAATTGGCTATGAATCTTTTAGGGTCGTTGTCTAATAAGTTCCACCTTATCGGCTAATCAACAAGCAACTTCTTGGAAGGGTGAATTCACCATTGACTGTATAGATCTCAGTTGGTGGTTATTTTTAGTGTAGACTATACACATATGGTAGACGAGACCGCTTGGACTTTAACTCATTGTTTGTGTGCTTGCAACACCTCTCTGAGTGCTTTGATTACTTTATTTTCTGTCGAGTCTGTCATATTATTCTTTTGGTTGTCAATCTTGAACGTTAACAGAATATCAGTGAGGTAATTCACACAAAATTGGTTGTTTTAAAAACAGTATTGATAACAATCACTGAAAACTGTGGACAAATAAGTGATTCGGCTTTTTGGCTGTGTGCACCAGCAACCAAATAATGTCATAATTAAGAAAATGGACCTGTTTACACTTTTAAGAGTATGGTGATTTTCACAGATTTATATTATCACTCAGCTACGCGGGTGAACATTACACTGGTCATTGCCTCGCTTTAAAACTTTAAAATAATGACTGAACTTTGCGGTTATACAAAAATCACCTTGTAAATCAACTTTTGCCTTTTTATTCCTGCAGCATTTGTAATGAAGATACGATTTTCCTGTACACTGTTTGATCTTTCAGGGAACCGGCTTTTCACGAAGTATCAGCTGTACACAGTTTGAAAGAGTTTTACACTTTCTTGGTTTGGATGTGGGTAAAGAAGATTGTCGAAGATTATGTCGAAAATTTGCTGATGTAGAAAAGACAGGTGTGAATTATAGTGCATTCTGTCAAACAGTGGATGAGTGGTATACAGCTGCAGCTCCTGTCGACATGAATGCAGATAATCCAGGTGATGTTAATTTTGAAAATTTGAATTTCGACGAAACGATAAACATCCCGAAGATAGGTGATACACGTTGTGGTAGAAATGCAGTACGCCGAGATTGGTATTCTACAGTAATACCATTGATTCATTCAGCCGGTGATAAATGGCCAGTTGAAGTTTTACTGGATCGTATTCGGCACTTGGTTTTAACAAATCGCATACAACTTAAGCCATGGTTTCATGATTTTGATCAGTTACGCACTGGTTATGTAACGCGGTCACAGTTTGAACGTTGTTTAACAGCTGCAGGGTTAACACGTACTGGTCTGCATGACCTGACGCCAGCTCAAATAAACGTTTTGACCAATAACTATGTATCATCCTCTGATCCGAATATGGTGAACTGGATAAATTTTGTCAATGATATAGACACAGGTAACTTACAGTGTAAATGAAATGAATATCTTTTTTGAACTCCTGGAAAATTTCCATTGTAACATATAGAAAATCAAACGAAGTGATTGGTCATAAAAATATCAGCTAATACAGGACCTAGTGGACTCCCCAGAGCCACTTCATCAACCTGGCGATACATTTTGTTGTCGAACTAGAATTCGATATCCTTGGTGCATAACATGAGAAGCTGCCTAAATTCCAGTTTTGACAGAGCAAGCAAGTCAGCTTTTTCATCTTTTCAATGAACTTATCGTCAAGCTGTACAATCGTTTATATATGGTTTTTAAGAAGTTATATCCGGTGAGGGAATTGAATCATAGGTGTGAATGCATAAAATAATAATAGTAGTATTATGAAATGCAATTAAAAACTAAAATGTTTGTGATTATAATCATAGGTAAACGTCAAATGGCAAAGCAAACTAATGTCATATATAGGATGATTCATAGGATGGATAGAACTTGGAAGGGTTTGCAATTATAGCATTAATAGAAAAATCGAATAAAATAAAAACATTACGTAATATTGTGCGAAATTTGATAGCATAGAATTTAACGTTGTGAAAAAGATTTGATTTAGAATGACAAGTGGAACAAGAGAAATAATACCGGGACAGTTCAAAGTGACAGTAGTAATAGTAACAACTGACGTGATAAGGAAGAGAATACAAATTGAATAGACAAAATGGAAATAAGAATATGCATTGAAATCCTATAAAACGTGACTTATCAACCGTACCCGAGAAAATACTTTACATGAGATTGGAATTCAAAGGGCACTCAGCTTCCGATATCATGAAACGAAGGATATCACAGTCACTGAAAAGAACATTCCCTGCTGCATCTCTGAGAATAGCCTTTATCACTCGACCATTACTGTTCAATAACCTGAAGGACAAGATCCCACTGTTGACCAAATCTATGTGTGTTTATCAATTCACCTGCTCATGTGGAGCTAGGTATATCGGTTGTTCGACTCGAGTTTTGTCCTAGACGAAGCAACAAAACTATCTTGCATGGTTACAAAGAGGTGGAAGTGGAGCAATAAGAAGCGCGATCATTGAACATCTGGTGGATAATGGTCACCCTACCTCTATAGCCTCCGCCTTTAAAGTCATCTACAAGGCAAAGAGTAATTTACCCAAATTACTACGCACCCGACTCATCTGTATTGCTGAAGCTTTGGCTATCAAAACAGAAAAGCCAGATCTCTGTGTACAGAGAAAGTTCATTCAACCCCTCTAACGTTCATGGTCTTAATCCTTCTATGCTGAAGTATGGAAATCCTCAATCATATTTTAGCTCTCCCGATTTTCATTTTTTTCATTTTGTCTATTCAATTTGTATTCTCTTCCTTATCACGTCAATTGTTACTATTACTACTGTCACTTTGAACTGTCCCGGTATTATTTCTCTTGTTCCACTTGTCATTCTAAATCAAATCTTTTTCACAACGTTAAATTCTATGCTATCAAATTTCGCACAATATTACGTAATGTTTTTATTTTATTCGATTTTTCTATTAATGCTATAATTGCAAACCCTTCCAAGTTCTATCCATCCTATGAATCATCCTATATATGACATTAATTTGCTTTGCCATTTGACGTTTACCTATGATTATAATCACAAACATTTTAGTTTTTAATTGCATTTCATAATACTACTATTATTATTTTATGCATTCACACCTATGATTCAATTCCCTCACCGGATATAACTTCTTAAAAACCATATATAAACGATTGTACAGCTTGATGATAAATTTGTTGGTGAAAAGAGTCCCTTCGCTGAATCACTTTTTTCGACTTTCTATATGAATATCTTTTTGTCTAATTAATGTTTTACAAATTACTGAATATCTGACAGTTCCAACAGTTACTGGCTCACAACCGGCACAGAAATTCTTGAGGCATGAATTCTAACTGTTTTGTGCATACAACTTTTCATAGAAATTGCGCAGAGCATTTTAAAACCATGCCGTCATTTCTTGTTTTTATGAAAACAACAGGTTTTACGCGTCAGAAGATTTTTTGTCACAAAGTGATGTGAATAATCTACTCAGTCCATTAGACCACTACTTACTTTCGTTCCACTCGAGCTTATCTGAGGTGAATTTCCAGCGTTGAACTTTGCAAAATGTTGAGCGCTTCAAGTGACCACACTTCGTGTAGGCAAACAAAAATAGCGAAAGAAGAGAAATGTATAGAGCAATCAAAATCAGCAGAAATTTACGGAAGATAGATTACATGGACAATAGTTAGGATTGGATAGATCTGAGAGATCATGAGCATGATTTACAATCATATCACCTATAGTCTGAAGTCTTTGGTTCTTGGCGCCTTGAGGAGGTCAACCAGGAAATCTACTCCTCTTTAAGTGGCTCAAACCAATGATCAAACATTTCACGGGTTGAGGATCAGTTTCGATTTAAATGCCGCGAACTCCTTCTCAACCTAGTCCAATGGAGTTTTGCAACCATTTTCACTGCCTTTCCCTGTAATTCCATATTAGTTTGTTTATTAAATGTATCACACAGTGAAACAGTATTAGTATTTACTGCATGATAAAGTTTCGAACACAATTTATTGTTCATAATCATATCACCAATTATAGTTACACGACTTCGAAACTTGAGTTGTATAGTTTTCTTTCTTTTCTCCTATTTATCGTCATTGGGGCAGTAGAATTTTCCAGATGTTCAGCTGGACAGGTGTCGAATCATTCCTATTGCACGTATTTGCAGGAATAAAAAGGGGATTAAAACCCCACAAACTCAGTTAGAAACAAGCTTTGTCGGTTAAAGAATCGATCCTGACAGTGGAGTCTTTACAACAAAACAATTTAGTTTATCTAATACCCTGTCTGCGATGATTATCAGGTAAAATACATAGGTCAAAGTAGTAGAAAAAGGGCAGTGAGTCAGACTAGCCGAACTTAAAGACCTAGCAAAATCTAGATAGGTTGACCCTAGTAAGGTAAGAAATCTAGAGAATAGTTCAGCTATAACACTCACTACATACAGTTACACACAACCATCCAATCTAGGATGGCGGGATAGGATAACAGTTTTAAAATCTAATCTAATGTCACAGGGTGTAGGGAGAGATTGATAACAGAAGCTTCATTTATCGAATCAACTGCAAACACCTGTAATAGGAATGATTCAATACCTGTCCGAGATATTTGGAAAATTCTACTACCCCAACAACGACAAACAGGAGAAGACAAAGAAAACTGTAAATCTCAAGTTTCCAAGTTGTGTGATTGCAATCGATGATATGATTATGAACAACAAAATTTTGTTCGAAATATTGTCATCCAGTAAATAAATATTGTTTTCACTCACTGTGTGATACATCTAATAAACAAACTAATATGGAATTAGTCACTACCACAGCGCCTAAATTTTACACATATTAATATGAATTTCTCTCTCTGTCTACTACTCAACACCTAACTGCATTGTTACTGACAATATTATTCCATTCAGAGAAGGACTCATGAAAAAAAACATCTTTATTGAAAGACAACTAGCCTCTTCACATCTTCCAACTTCAGTATTCACGTCTCACAACCATAAATATGCACAGAAACAATTGCTATACGTTACACATGTCTTCTTTTAGATAGCCATATATCACGTGTGCGTCGGTGGCACAGCGGTTAGGACGTTCGCCGACTATGCACATGGTCCGGGGTTCGACCCCCGTCATACTCACTCCTTTACCTCGCTAAGCCAGTAATAAAGCTGGTAAAGGAGGAAGGTTGAGCATGGGGCTAGCAACCCCATCCTGTAAAAATAAACACCACTATCACAGTAACTTCAAGCCTCTACCTTGAAACCCTATGTTCCACTGGGAGCTTGAAGGAATAAAAAAACATCAAAGTCAGAAATGATGTAAATCAGAGAAGGCCACATGAGCCTGTTGTATCCGTGCTGAGATTTCGTCAGCGAACGACTGATTAGCTCTGATACAGCTACTCAAATAAGTGAAGTGTTCAACATGCTAAACGATTCCACTCCCTATCCTTAAACTAAGAGCTGGTCCTGCACAATCATGTAACATCTGACCTGGATGACTAGTACATCAAAAATATCTAAGAGTTTTTCTTATGGTGTTCGGAGAATTTTGTATTTTGTCAGATGAATTGTGAGACAGTATCAAAATAAAGTGAAACTATCATAATGTCAACTGCTAAATGCATTTTCAGATAGAAGAATGGTCACCTTTTCAGGCAATCTAAGCATTCAAAAAAGCTCTCCACTAATTAATATATATTTATATTTTAAAACTCGATGCATACAAGTTCGTTTTAGTTTCTTATTTATTCTCAGATTTCGAATGTCAACCAACTGACCTAACACTATAACCACTGAATTTGTGTTTTTTTCTTGCAATAACAATGATGTTATGCCTAATATTCTTCTATATCCATCTTAACAAATCTCATTCAGTTATTTGGTCTGTTTTAGTGTTTACTATACCAGAGTTAGAAAAACAACCATTGACACGTGTACTACCACAAGAAACGTTTATTCAACCGAAACCCGGTACAGCTGATTGGTCAACTGCTACTGAAGAAATGATAAAGAATTATGAAAGTGGTATGGCGGCTATAAGACGAAAAGCTAATGAACGACGCATGCTATTGCTACCGGATTTCGCTGCTTTTGATCCGTAAGTATAAATCTATATTACTTATCCTTATATCAATTATACAAGTTGGTATTATTATTGTTATTGTTCCTTTGGGGTTCCGAGTGGAACATAGGGCTTCAACAACACCACTCTATTCTATTTTCATCTGACCTCTTCATCTGGGTCCACGATTGCTCATAATTTCTCATATCCTTGCTTCACGATTTCCTCCATGTCAGCCTCCAAACAACGCCCGGCTCATCGTTTCCCATTCAGGTGCTACTCGAGGATCTGGAGCACTATGTCACTCAACGGTTTCCTCAGTGTATGCCCAATCTATTTCTAATTTCTCCCACATATTTGTTGAGCAACAGCTTCTTGGTTACTTTGTTCCCAGCCAGAGTTTCGTGTTGATAATTCTTCCCGGTTATTTGAGTTTTAGTATGGAGCGAAAGCAGCTGTTGGTAAAAGTCTGCAACCTGTTGGAAATCCTTTTGTGATGCACGATGTTTCTGATCCACATAGAAGAACTAATTTTACATTTGTGTTGAAAATCGGAATCTTGTTCTTTTTTTATCCCAAGTACAGAAGATTTCCAACCTGGCTTCAGGTTGATGACAATCACGTCTTCATCCTTTCCGCCTGTGGTTAAAACCGTGCTTACTGACTAGATAAATGAAGGAAGTAACCCCTGTCAAATCTCCCCCGTTTGTGGTGATTGGTGCTTGTTGTTATTGTTGTTGTTGCTGTTCGTCGGTATTCTTCACCACATATGTCTTCTCTGGCTATTTCTTCCGCCAGTTTGTTGGTTTTCGCCTGCAAGTCTTCAGATCTGTGTGACTTTAGACATAAATCATCCATGCGCGAAATCCAAATCTTAGAGTCTTCTTATCGGTAGTCGAGCGTATTGCCGTCTTTTCGCTTCCTATCCACAGTCTGATGCATAATCCAGTCCCCCACAATTATGAATATCATCGGTGATAATAGTCAGCCAGCTTGTCTTACTCCTGTATGCACATCAAACGCCTCACTGAGTTTTCTATTGTGAATCACTTGGCACGTGGCGTTGTCATTTAGCTGTTGAATGATGTTGACAAAGACTTGAGGTACGCCGTAGTATTGAAGTAGTTTTCAAATCACATCTCGGTACGGTCTACGCTGTAGAAGGCCTTCTCGAAGTCGATGAAGTTAAGGTAGAGAGAGGTTTGACTGCCATTCTATGCTTTGTTCTGCGATGGTGATACTTACAGTTGCAGTTTCATCAGCCTATGATTCGCTTTTCCTGAATACAGCCAGCTTGTTCCGGTGGGTGGCGGAGTTCTGTGTCCAGTGAATCCTTTATTCTCTCTCGAGGATGATGCGACTTAGTATTTTACTTGGCTCAGAATTGAGTTATGAATACGCTCCTATCCGAATCATTATCCCAAAGAATAAAGGTGTCATCCATATACCGGCAATAAAATGAGAACTTTCTGATAAGGTTGTTCATAGGTCCATTTTCTAGTTTACTTAGAAAAAAATCAGCCAAAATGGAACCCAGTGGGCAGCCCATCGCCACTCCATCCACTTCTCTGTAAAGTGTGCCGTCAAATTTGAAATTTACATTCATGGTACACCTTAACAACGATTCTTTTAGGATTTCAGTACGGATGCCAGTGTTTATCGACTAGTTATCCACTTGTTCACATATACACAGTTAACTATTTCTACTAGAGGTGCATTTGTGAATAAAGACGTTATGACCAGAGATATCATGGTTTTGTCCTTGACATTGATATCTTTGATTTCAAGTATTGGTTTTGTAGGGATTTTGTTTGATTGCATGGAGGATTTAATCATGAGCTGACATCAGTTAGAGAACCACTGGAAAACCTGGGAGTACTGGACAGCTGTTTCGTCCTAGTTTGGGACTCTTCAGCAGTACGCACCCACCGGATTCGAACCCAGGACCTTCTGGTTACAAGGCGAGCTCGTAGACCATTGAGCCACTCCATGCAATCAAACAAAATCCCTACAAAACCAATACTTGAAAATTAATCTGATGCTCACTAGTGACTGGCCCTATTCAGGCAGTTAACCTGGGGTTCTAGTGGGAAGCCGTGACCAGTAGGGTACAGCAGGTCGAAGATGAGGCAGTAACTCATCGAGGAAGACATTGTGAAGTGGTCGCGCTATGTCGTAAATTGGCAGAAGTTAGAATTCAAGGACCATTGGATCGGGTCCCAGTGGCTCAATGGTCTACGAGCTCGCCTTGTAACCAGAAGGTCCTGGGTTTGAATCCCGGTGGGTGCGTACTGCTGAAGAGTCCCAAACTAGGACGAAACAGCTGTCCAGTACTCCCAGGTTTTCCAGTGGTTCTCTAACTGATGTCAGCTCATGATTAAATCCTCCATGCAATCTTTGATTTCGTCTACGAATTCAAATACATCTTTGACGCTATATTTCACTATCACTTCTCATGCAAAGGTTTGAGAATATTTACTAACCATCTAGCTAAACATTTATAGTACTACCTGCAAGGTAAGCGTAGAAAGAAGCATACTCTAATATAAATGGAAGAAGAGGATAGCAAAATTATCACGTGACCATCATTGGTATTTTTAGTCAGGGGTGATGCTTTATTCAATACAGAAAAGAGAAAAAAGAAACCTCTGCAATATGTTGTCATGGTAAGGTAGAATAATCAAATGTACTATTAACAATGATGACGGTTGTTAAAATATCGCTTTCTGTATATAATTTTATAGTGTGAATAATATCGCTCATCTTTTAGTGGACTATTTTTGATAAAACAATTCACAAGCAGTCTGTATATGATATTAGATGTTCTATTTTGACACAATTTGTCCATTTAAGCGAGATCACAACCACCTTCATTGGGGAAGGTAAAGATATAGCTGACTTTTTAAGGTTTCCGTAATACACATATTAGACAAAACTGTTTCTCTTACAGATTTTATTTTTTTGATAAGTACCCAGAAGAAAATATTTTTTCAATTATTAAAAGTACAAGCATAACTTGCGAAACTCTATGAGTTGTGATCAGTACAGCCGAAAGAAAAAGTCTGTTTAGGGATGGATTAATTAACTGTATGCCGAGCCCTTGACCATCTAATTCAGAATAAGCACCAATTTGAAAAGTTGTATTGCTTAATTAGAATACTGGCAACTAATCTATAATTATATGGTCACAGGAATTCTAAAAGCGAATTCTGTCGCCAGCAGTAAAAGCATGAGATTTTCAAATCATATATATATAAAGATGTATATGTAGTTGTAAACCTAACTCTACAGTTTTATTTGACTGTTAAAATCTATGCCTTGACCTTTTGGTGCTTAACACTTAATGTACTTTTCCAAGTATTGTTTTTGTGGGGGTTTTGTTTGATTAGTTAAAGGATTTCATCATGAGTTGATATCAGTAAGAGAACCATTGAAAAATCCGGGGTTACTGGACAGTCGTTTCGTCCTGCTTTGGGTCCCAGTGGCTTAGTGATCTATAAGTTCTCCTTGTAAGAAAAAGGTCCTGGGTTCGAACCCTGGCGGCGGCTGGGTACTGATGAAGAGACCATAACGAGGACGAAACAACAACTATCCAGTACTTCCCCGAGTGGTCCTCCAACTGACGTCATCTCATGGTGAAACCCTCCAACCAATCAAACGAGATCCCTACAAAACCATTACTTGAAAACCTTAATAATTTCCATCCTGCTCACAAATAATCAAAAGCTGTGACGTCTTTGGATGAATTATAACTGCGTCGATTTAGCATCCTTTTTGTGCAATCAAGAATATTATGTTTTTTGATGATGCGAAATATCCTCATGAATATGTCCTAAAATCAAAATAAATGGCCTCCCACTTTTTCATTTTAAACATAAAATCGCATGTTTTGGATGTCCTTACCTGAGGGAGTATTTTAATTGTCTAGGTGCTTAGTCATTCTTCAGTTTATATCCCCATTATGTCGTAGTATTTTTGTGTGGCGCATTTCTTTATGTGAGCAAACAACACAGGTTGCTTTAAAGTGAGTATATATATAAAGTGAACAATGTCTGTTTGCTTCATTGGGCAACTTTTTATTTGCATGTACTGTGACTGACTACTAGACCTTCTTAGATGTAGTGTTTGCTTTTCTCTAGATTCATTTTTGTATTTTTTTTCTAGCAGGAATCAGATGAGCATTGTATCTTACAGTTAAACATCATTGAACTAAAATATGATAAACCGTTTGTTTTTAAGGCAAAAACTTATCAATGATCTTGGTGGTCTAAATGATGTAATATTGTCTGTCTGTCTGGAGTCAATGTAGAACTTGGCACCAAAGTGCAGCACTTCGAGTTGCCACCTTCCAAATAGCACAAAAAGGTAGACAAGAAGATGAGTGAAGAGAATCAATACAGTCTGACAAGTATAAGAGTGAAACAGAATGGGTAATAGTAGAAAGGAATATGAAAGATTACAGAGACTGAATACATCTGCGCTGGCCATTGACAACGATTTTGAGCCATGTCACCTATTGTCTCCAGCCATTGATTCCTTGAGTCCCGAGGGCCCCAAGCTGGAAGTCTGTATCTCCCTACCTGGCTCAGTTTAACTGTCAAGGATTTCATAGATTGATGAGGCCATGTTTTTGTTTGGCCACCATTTACTCTTTTCCAACCTGCACCTATATCAGGTGCAAGAGGTTGAATGTGTCTTATCGTTTTACTCATTACAGGAAACGATATAGTTCACAATTTATATAAAGCAATAAGAAGACGTAATTTGTGTCTGAATCGTGTAATGCTGTATTTGAGTAACACATTTCGAACAATCTGATTACACTAAGACTTGTCATAGGAATATGTATGAAATTAATACAGAGTTAAGATGTGACGAAATAGACAAGTTAGGTCAAGTTAAAAAGAGGACATATATATATATATATAACAATTGGAGATAACTACACCAAATAACAGAGGTAACACAAAATTTACCAAGGACGGTTGCTTTAGTGTTATGACGAATTGTTGCTTTGATCGCATAAAGGTGTTTTAACCTTTCTAATTCCTAGCTAAGGCTAGCTTCCACAAACTTTAGGATACGCCCTCCCCTTAATACGTTTTACAGATAGGTTTAAAAGATCTGTTAACGTCAATTTTATGTCCTATCTCTATAATATGTTTCGCGATAGAGGAGCTAGGTTGTCGCCTGTTCTCACCATTAATAGGTTCTGAAGATTCTATTTGTTTCTGGAGCTATTTAGGAATATGCTCTGGAGTTCTTACTTGCAGAGATCGATGGGTCCTCCCTTTTATACGTGTGTGTCCACACGTGCGTTCAAACTGGTGAATACAGTGGGATGTGACATCAGTTTTCGCATGTTCAAAGGGCTTAGATAGATATATTGGCATCACATTCTCAATCAGTATGATACTATTTGCATTAAAAGTCTTTTTAACAGCGACGTGTAATCTTTGTCTAGTTATCAAGTTGCTTTGATGTCCCATGTAGGGTAGCTTGATGTACACGTCTTTCTTGGGGGCGAGTTTCGGAGTGGGTTTTGGTGTTCTGACTACTTTATATCTCCTGATGAAATTGTCTGGATACTTGTTTTCAACCAGAGTTTGTGTCAACTTTTTTTCTTCTTCATCAAGTGTGTCTTCAAGGCATAATCGTTGGATTCTACTGAAGAGGCACTTTAATAAGGCTCTTTTGTATCGAACAGGGCAGAAATTGTGGTAATCAAGATACTGTCCTGTCCAGGTAGGTTTTCTATAAATAGATCTTTTATTGACCCATGTAGTCGTCGACTGAGCAATATATCTAGGGAAGATAAATAATTATCTTCCCCTTCTACAGATGTAATTGATATGCTATTCTGAGCTTCATTCAATCAATTTAAAATTGAGGTGGCAGTAGAAGACTTATCATTGATGATTACAATATCATCTAAATACTTTCAGACGAATTACATCTTCGTATTGCTTTATATATGTCCAAACAAAGTTCACTTTTAACGGTTTGGAAAAATGTGGGCATTGGGTATATGATATTCATTATAATAAAGGTTTTCTTTGTATTTCCTAATGAATGAAAAACAAAAAACAATATCGTTTTGTTTTTCATTCATTGTGAAATACAAAAAAACCTTTATTCTTATTGCTTTATCTAAATTCATTGTTTTAAAAATGATTCACAATGCTGATATAGAAATCGCCAGTCAAAATGCTTATATCTTCCATAATACTAACTGATGTGTAACAAAATTCTTCTACACTTCAAATTTATCTTTATGCTGACTTTTTATTCTGCCCAGAATACATCGTGGTCTAGTGACAACAAATAATTTCCGTCAATTAGTCAGCATGTTTGGATTTTCCTTATCCCCTGGAGAAATTGATGCAATCATTGCACGCTATGCAAACGATGATGGTTTTAACTATTTAAGCTTTCTGAATCATTTATGCCCACCAACTGAAGAAGACAATGAGTACAAATATCCACAGCGTTTAGAATGCTTACAGAAAACAAATATACTGGGTAAAACCAGAGTGGAAATGGAACCAGTACTGAGAGATGCTGAAGGTGTTATGGATAAGCTTAAAGCAGAAGTATGTGGAAAAAAGCATAAAAATTAATTTATAAATATATGAGATATTTTAAATTTTTCATTAAAATTATTTTCTTAACACTACTGTATATTTTTATTGCATTAAATGTAGAATAGAAAATTCCCAATGCAGGCTAGAAGACTGTTTAAGAGTACAACTATCCAAGTTGCCACACCTAGGAATAGTGTACATAAAATCATGCAAAATAACATACTGAAACTACCTTCGACACAGATGTATGAAAGAGAGAAGTGGTCTACATATTCTGCCATTTTAATCCATTACCCTGGATTGAGAGACAGTAGAGATTAGTCCTGCTGAATAATCTTACATTTAACACTAGGAAATTGTATGTTAAAAATACTCGGATTTTATTTATTGTGTTCAGAAGATGCTGGATTTTGTTGGGCTATTCACCTTAAAGGACTATTTCAACTTGTGTGTGATACATCGATGAGATGTTTCTCTAAGGGAAGCGTCCTACTGTTTTTACACCTCTGACCAATGTTCAGGGACAACCTGGAGGAACACTGGGATATGCAAACTACAATCACGATACCTTTTGATGTAAAATTTCAAATAAAAATTATGTGTATGGCTATACAACTTTGGGCAAGTGCTCGCTCTCTAAAGAGAAAAAAAAACAACTTGTACTTTTGCTAATACTTTGGGACAATAAATACAGATGATTGAATTGATGTAGAATTTATACTATGAGCTTATAATTTTGCGTCGGTGGCACAGTGGTTAGGACTCTCGCCGACCATGCACATCGTCCGACGTTAGATCCCGTGCCGACGCACACCTGATATCTATGGTCGACCTGCGAAATTTGGGTTACCGATATCCATGCTGAAAATTCCATACCGGTACCGAAAATACGGTGTGGCATCAAGCTGCAATCAAAAATAAAATAATAAAGTAAATAGACTCGTATATCATGGTAGTGACTTAAAAATGCACCGAATCTCATGGATCAAACCTAAAATTTGGATACGTTGCGTGGAAGACACATTTGTAATAATCAAAAGAAACAAGTTTGATAGAACTCATAACTCAATAAACAACGTCTTCAACGACACTGAATTCACAAGAGAAGAGGAAAACAAGAACAAAATCCCATTTTTGGACGTCTTAGTCAAGTGAACAACCACAGGGTAATCAGAAACTCAAGTTTATAGGAAGTCAACTCACACAGACCGAATACTGAATTACAACAGCAACAATTCAATAACACACAAAAGGAATTGTATACAAACACTATACAAGAGGACTAGGAATCATTGCAGCACTCCCACCTTAAGGAAAATTGAAGAAAGATATCTCATGGACGTCTTCCAAACGAATGGATATCCACGTAACTTCATCAAAAGACATATACCCCCAAGCCAACATACCGAATCGAAGGTTCCCAAGGTAAGCACAAAAAATTGCCCTACCATATATAAACGACACTTCAGGAATCACTGCAAGACTTCAAACCTGTAGGAATTGACGTCACACACAAACCAACAAAATCCCTTCCCTTGGCTGGCTTTATGTCAATCAAAAGACTCAACAACGAAAGAAGATAAAACCAATATCATCTACAAAATAAATTGTAACAACTGCGAAAAACACTACAGTGGCCAAAGTGAACGTCCCCTTCGTCTTCGTATCCACGAACATAAGCTAGTCGTCAAAAGACATAATATCCACTCCCTCATATCGCCTCACCACATACAGACTACCACGGACATCAATTCGACTGGGACAACCAGCGTTCAAATGTTATACAGAGGAATTTTTAGAAGCCTGCCTGGTATTCCAGTGAATCATCAATCAATAGACACATCGAGATAGACAAAATTTACCAACCGATAAGAAGGAAATCTCGACAAAATACGGTCAAAGTTCAAGTCAAAGGAACAATCAGTTCTAATACGAGTAGCCTAGAGATGTGAGAACACACAAAAACAACCAGTCACGTCCGAGGTCATCAGGAGAGATGACTAATAAACTCGTGAAGAAATCTAAAAGCTCACTTCAAATTGAAGTATGCGCTGAAGATGTTACCTAGTAGGGGGCGATGAAAGCTCCGCAAATTAACTATCAGCTCAGAGAAGATAACCACATCAATATCATCCACCTGAGCTACAAATCTTCTTCATCATATCGAAGAGGCTCTTTTCGGTGAATTCATTCACATAGCTGTACAACCGCACTTATATATAGTTATTTGTGTGTTAGTATGTACATGAGGTACGTCAAGTTTAGATAATCAGGTAATACAAGAGTAATCTAATATAGAAACAAGGTTAATTAGACAGCAGCTAAGGTAAGATTGAGTTAGTAAGTTAGGTGACGTAATATAAATGACTAAAATGTTTCAACCTAGGTCAGGATAGCAGGACAGAGGTAATTACAGGTAGGGACTAAGTAGAGGTGGGGTAGAGAATAATGCCATTTAAATTAGTACTAAAGTTGAGCAAGTAAATTGGATGACGTAACTTACATGACTAGAAATTGAGCGTTGGTCAAGTCAGTAACAGTGGTAATGAAGTGTAGAAATTATATCGGGTGGGGGTAGAGAACAGTAAGGCTGAAAATGTAAAATATTACACTTGTAAAGACAAAATAATACTAATGAAAAGACAGAAAGAAATAGAACTTTCCTGTCGGGTATTAAGATAGATTAAGTCCATTCCAAGTGTAGTGAGTGAACGAACTTCTTCTGTATGCAGAGTTCAAGACTAAGCAAGTGAGTTGCCATTGCTTCTGCAGTTTGAAGAAGTCTGATTCGCACACCTTTAAGAAGACTACTTCTTACTCTGTGGACTACTTTGAAGTCTGTTTGGGCGCAGCTTGGTATCCGTAATCTATCGGATGTTCTATGATAGAGCTGTGGCGGCATCGTTTTTCTCCTTTGTGAAACCATATTGTTAAGCGTTCAGCAATACGCTTGGAAAGCGAACGCTGGGTGCGGCCACTTTATCGCCTTTCTACAAGTTCCTGTTCATTCTACAAAATCTTATTGATTGGTCATTTTCTCACACTTATTACGTCATGCCAACTTCTGCCTGTTTTCTAAATTCCACTTAGTCTCCCGCTCTAGATGGAACCTTACATTATGTTATATGCTTTTCGAGGACAAATCTTACTAGTGTCTCCTTGGTCTCGTGATTTCTTTGTTAAATACAATTACATAGTTTGAATAAACAAAGGACGAACGTATTCGCAGGATAGTGGAAGCTCTTTTTATTTTATGGATTCTCTTCAACCACATACATCCTAAATAAATCACTTACCATGTCACATAATGTCACAAATAAGGTTTCATAAATACTAAATTAAACTGTTATATCTATTTTATAATTTCACTTCACTATTTACCCCCAACCTCCTGAATTATACGCCACAATATTTATAAATTAACTCTGTTGTCCTATCTTGTATTTTGTCTCTATTCCACCTTTGTTTCCAAGAAAAATCTGAATTCCACCCCTTTGTCTGATCTCTACACAACTTGTTACTCTCGTTTAAAACTAAATAATTGTCTACTTACACCAACTTTGAAGTTATGTTGCTTATACTTTTTACATATAACTTGGAATCCTTATAAAACGTATGTTCAGAAGTTTCCCAACATATAATTGATTTATTTAGCATGCACGCAATTGACGGAAGAATCCACAAAATAAAACGATCTCGTATTATGTGTGTACGGTCTGCCGAAAATCAACAAGGTCAATGTGCCCTTAAGACCCATGTTATCAATGATGAAATCGCCGTGCCAAAAACTAACTCGATGGCTAGCTGATTCATTGAAAACAATTCAACAGAAATTTGGAAATTATAGCTCAAATGACACCAGGCAGTTTTCTAAAGAAGTCGACCATGTTGACACATCAAAAAAAACCAATGGTGTCATACGACGTGACTGCCTTAGTTATAAGTGTACCGGTGATGGAAACAATAGACATCATTTGTAAACAAAAAGATCAATTGCCATTACCGGAGAGAGGGATGAAGCGCCTACTAATTCTTTGCACAAAAGACACCAAATTCAAATTCAGCAACCAATTCTACCGACAAATTTATGGGGTCGTCATGGGTTCACCTCTAGGACTTATTCTGGCCAACATCTTCATGGGTTATCTTGAACAGGCGCGACTGAGTGACGCTATCAATGAAACAACATACTATCGTCGATATGTCGATGATACGTTTGTTGTTTGTAACGATATAAGTTAGGCATCCGTATTATATGACCGCCTTAACGAGGACCACCGAAATATTAAATTCACCATGGAATATGAACACAGCGGTGAGTTCAATTTCATGGACCTAAATGTAAAAAGAAGAAACGACGGAACGGTTAAAAAGTCCGTCTGCAAAAAAGAAACATGGATTGGACAATACCTTCACTAAAAACAGCTTCTGCCCTATAAGCTATAAGTGAGGATTAGTAAGCACACTGTACGACAGGGCCAGGAAGTTATGTTCGCCTAACAAGGTAGAAGAAGAATTAGGCTTTGTTGAATAATGCCTTAAGGAAAATGGGTATCCAAAGGGGTTTGTTCTAAAGTGCAGCAAAGAAAGAGATGAGAAAGAGAAGTATCCAACAGTTGAAAAGAAGAAAGTGTTCATGAAAGGAGCAATAAGGAGATGCTTCCCTGCAGCTAAGCTGGTGACACTATACAGCACTACATGCTCTATAAGTCAATCGAAACTGAAGAAGTACCCTGTTGATGTTACCTCCAACTGCTTTTATAAATTTACTTGCACGGGCGGCAGCAAGTAAATTTGAAGGACAGAAATAAGGGCCTCTATCCGGATCTCAGTGCATATTCCAAGAAACTTATGCTTAAAAGGAAGCAGATATTTACAAACTGCAATTACCCGACACCTTGTGGATACGGGTCATTTTGTCGAGATTTCCAAATCCTTCAAATACTTAACGTACAAAGGACAGTGAATCTACTACGATTTGCTGAAGCAATTGCAATCAAACGTCTCAGACCAAACTTATGCACACAGAAAGAGAATGTAGTCAATCTCTCACTCTCTTAGTAACCATATCACTTTCATTACACTGACTAGTCATACACACTAGTGAGCTCTCAACTCACTAAGCAATTTTTCAATTTGATGAATTTTAACCTTCTTGAGTTGACATGTTGACGTACAAGCTAATAGTGTTTATTAGATTTCTCTGTTTTCTATCTTCTCTCACCCCTCTCTTTTTTCCATTTTTAATAACATATAAATCGTTGGTGACCTAAACTAGTAATAATTGTAATACTTATATTCCGAATGCGTTCACCTAATAATGTTTTCTCTATTACCTTTCAAACATTGAAGTATGAAATGCCATTATTTATAACCATTGTAATTGCAGGTTTGTTTGCAGCAGCTGATGAGGGGAACCTATGAAATAAGATGATGATATCATTTTATACTGCAAATCTGGTCTTTCTTTCTCTATCGAGATCTCTTATTATCCTGCAAATATGTTCGCTCTTTTTTTATTCAAAATATAATTATGATTGTACAGCTTATAAAAATGAATCATCGAGAGGAAAATTGTCGTCTCTGTCTACGTCTTTTTCTTTTGACTCAGTATGAGTATATCTCAAGTTAACCAAAATATTGAATTTCAGGATTTTGTGGATTAGTACATATTTGTATTATAATGCGAAACAAATCCACGACTGTTGTATAAAAGTCCAGCAGATGTCAGAATGCATATGAATCAGATAAATACATTCATTGAAGAAATAAATTTAGTCGTTTTCAAGTTATTTGCACGAAACTAGTTGAAAAAACTCGTATTCTCGATCGAAAACGGCTACCTCAAGCATTTAAGAGCTAATGGTCTACATTTTAAAACTTTTGACTAGTCCAAAACAGGTCGGTACTGGCTGAGGACATTTCGGTTACCTGTTACTTGCTGATAATCAGCTTTGCTTGGTTAACCAAATGTTTGAAATTAGCATTGAGTATATATATTGGTAGACTAATGTCTTCTCACAGTTAGAAGCCATATTTTGTTTTTTATAGGTTTTCGATCGCTTGTTTTATTTACGTACATTCTTAATTTTTATATATTAGGTATATCGTAGACGTCTTAGACTTTCTGAATGGTTCCGTGATCATGACAAACTCAATCATGGATATCTACCAAGAATAACTTTCCGACGATGTCTTGGCGTTCTTAATTTACAAATCGGAGAAACAAATTTAAGTGTTCTTGAAGACAGGTAATTAAATAGTAAATTCGATAGCATTTTAGATTTTGGTGTAAAAATAAGACAGACACGTACATACGTAAGGTAACCGTAGTCATGGCTTAGTAGATTTCATAGATTGAATATTTGTATACATTAAATACCTTTTTCTGTCAACGCCGGTCTGTTTTCTGAGATGGATCAAGGAGTGATTTTCACCCTTGAATGTGTACTTAGGTTGATGCCAGAAAAACGAGAATTATGTTTGTAATTTTGTATTAACATGAAACTCAGGCAGAGGTGCAATCACAAAATCTAAAAGATGACCTAGACTATAGTGACTGACTGGTTGGTTTCAACGTAGAACTTTGCATAGATGTGCAGTAGTTTGAGTTACCCCACCGTATGTAGTATAAAAAGCAAGAGAAGAGAGTAGTGAGAGATAACAAACAGAGATATGAGACAAATAGAATAGTAATGTGGAAGAACAATATAATTTTATTGGGTATAATAAATCATAAAGAGTGGATGCGTCTGTGCCATCACCGAGAACGATTTTCAGTCATATCACCAATTGTCTTCAGCCATTGATTTTTACCACCCTCAGGACCCCAAATAATCAGGAAGTCTACACCTCCCTACGTAGCTGGTATTAACCAACTGTTGTGAATTTCACTGACTGATGAGGCCATGTTTTGCTTTGACCACCACTAACTCTTTTCAAACCTGATTAATCCTATGCCAGCAAACTTTGCCCATAGTCGAGGAAGACGATGGATGGCTAGACATGCATGCGTAACACGTGTCCTAACTATCTCTCTCAATCAGTGTAACTTCACAGTCTCGTCGATTGATTTCTTCTCTTTACCTAGCACTCGACCGATGCCTTCCTTAAAAATTGCTCATTTTTTGCACCACTTCACACGGGAGATAGAACGCAGACACATATGATCAAAGACGGCTAGCTAAGCTTTTCATGTCTCCCACCTTCAGTGGCCATGTGTAACTTACAGCCAACCATAGCAGAGGACGGAATGAACTGCTGCTACTGAGCAGTACACACATCCCTTGGTCGACAACTAGCTGAATTTCACGTCTACTAAACCAGAGATGGCGTTATTTGTTTGAAAAATGCCAAACGATCCCTCTGTATCCGTGATGAGGTTTTGTCAGTGACCAACCTACTGGTGAAGGGTGATGCAAGCCCCCGAATAAGTGAAGTGGTTAACAAATCCCACCACTTCACTCACTATCTTTAGGCTAGGAGTAATTCGATTTAGTCTAGTCCAGTACTGTAACCTCATAATTTTACATTTGCCAAAGGGAGCGAATCTCACGTCAACCATTCGAAGACTGGTCCTTCTCAAAGTGTTCAGAAGACCGAATTTTTTCCGCGTCTTCCTTACCTAGGAGGGAAAACTATGTCGGCTACCACCTGGTGGTAACAAGTCAATCACTGAGTCGCTGAATTTCTGGTCTGTAATAGTCCTTAGACAAATCCAGACATTAGTTATTAAACATAATTACTTACTGTCCAATCAAGAACTTATCTCCCAACAAATATCCAGAAGGAAGTAGAAATAGACTGGAAATAAGCTGAGGCCTTCGAGTGAAACCCGAATAGGGAACGACGAATTAGACGTGCTCAGAGTGAATTGCAGGCGATCGTGTTAGTAGAAGGCAAAAACTTATGAGCAGTGGTGAAGTCAGCTTAAATGGAACTCAGAGGACAGAGTGAAATGCAGATGTGCCGCTGAAGCCGTAGATTCTACTTGGAATCTAAGGGAATAATAATATCCGTTATGAAATAAAACTGGGTCATTACAGGTACCTGTGCAATACACCGGACTAAAATTATAAAAATGCGATTAACTTATGGATTCATACGTGCATTAAATGTGTGATCTCATGATCTCCATGTTAGTACAGGTATATAATCTTTGAAAGCCTTCACTGTGACTTAACATGATAGGCTTGTAAGCATAAATGCGCGATGGATTAGCAGTGTAGAGCCAATGAAAAATGTGATAAGGCATTCAACCGATTGTTGTTTCACCACTCCAAAGATTCGACTGGTGATGTAGAGATGCACATCAGTACTGAATTCGGATGGGGAAAACAAGCAGCAAATGTCTAACCAATGTCAGCTCATGATGAAATCCTGTAACCAATCAATCAAGATAAGATAAGAAACTTAAAACAAGCAGCAAAGGTTAATAAAGCTGGATTTAATGAATTCATCTAATTTCGGTAGAACTCGTCAGCTGAATACTCTACATACACGGATATAAATACTTTTGAATATGCATTGGGAGATATAAGACTGATAAGTAAATAAATTGCATTGAATTAGTCATGCAGAAAGACAGGTGAGAACGTTTTCCAGGTCATGTTCAAATAGATAATGGAAGAGAGAGCATGAGAGACTGAAATTAAGATAAAATGCATTAAGCTTCAATTACACATCACTTAGATAAACAATTAGACATCAGAGAATATATCAAGAATTGCAAACAGAGTAATATCAATAGTAATACTTATAATAATAATAGTGGTGAGGTTTTATAATGAATATCATATACACAATGCCCAAATTTTTTCAAACTGTTAAAAGTGAACTTGGTTCGGAGATATATAACCATCTCCTTTTGTATACAGAGACCTGGTTTATAAACTCGGATTTCAAAAGCCTCTGCAATTGCAAGCATCTTCTTGTTTCCTTGTCTGCTGACAATAACAGTGAATGACTCGACAGCGTCAATATCATATCCGTAGTTCACAAGATGTTTTGTTATTGAAAATGTGCCAAAATTTGATGAATTCATTAAATCCTCCTTTATTAATTTTTATTGCTTGTTTTAAATTTCTTATCTTCATCAAACAATTGATGTACACCTGTTTTACATTCCACTAATATCACATTTGAAATTGTATTTCAGATATAAAGGTCCACTACCTGAGACAATAGATTGGAGAGAGTTTGTTGCCGATATTGAAACTATATTCCAGACACCGAATTTAGAAAAGGATCCTTTAATAGAACCTGGTGTATACAGGCCGGATTCACCGGTAGCTCAGAATTATTTAACCGCTGAACTAGCTAAAACTGCTGCTGACGCCATAGTTAAGATTCAAGCCAGGGTAAGTTTCTCTTAAAGCAAGCGTATTATTGAAGAGTAAGATTTATACAATCATAATTCATCAACAATTCTCATTAGTATGTGTAGAAAATGAAAACAAGTGATTTATAAAACACAAAATAATTGAGCGAATAATATCCTTGTCGATAAATTTGTCTGCTTCTGGCGCTACAATTATATATGCATGTTTATATACACAGAATATTCTAGAATAGTATTCAATAACAATATCAGTGTTTTTTTAAATAATATCGATTTGTTAAGTAAGATCACAATGGAATTACAGTTCATTAAAGATTCTTAAAGTATAATAATAATAATAATAATAAAGATATAATAGCAAATAAAATATCAAATAAAATTAAGGAAATTTTACAAAACAATTGAGAATCATTCCAACTTAGATAGCCAAGGTAAGTATAATGTCTGAACTAGCTTCTTTTGGACGCATAAATGAAGCTTCTTAATGTGGGTCTCAACGGCCAGACTCAGCAATATTTAGTAGTCGAACTATGAATGCAAAATTGAGATTCGTGGGTATGCGGTAAATGACCCTGAAAGCCGCCTCGTTAACATCAATCTTGTGTTCTGTATCCACAAGATGAGACAGGGTAACGCTAGGCATAGATTTTGTTTGTCCTTTACTTAACCAAGCACGCAGGGTGATATTCGGAAATCCGATGAGAAACAACAAGTGGTTTGTTATAAATAGTCCCTTAACGAATTCATGATCAAGTTATATAATCGTTTACGTATATGATTCTGAAAATGACTACATCGTGTGAAGAAATTGAAACAATGGGTTTTGGTGATAATAATCATGATGTGACTTGAGAAAAGATATTCGTTATTATAGTAATAGGTTATGTAAGAAATCAAGATAGTTAAACGCAACCACAGAACGCAGAAGATACAATTTATTGAACTTGAGAACATAAATATTCAAACAGTCCGTAAGTTTCCATCATATTTGATGGGTCATTTCTGCTTAGAGGATTTTTGTGGAATGAAAGTCTTGAGTAATCTGGCGGCTTAAATTTGTTACATTTATTTTATGACGCTGTGTGTAATTATCCTTCGGAAATCGTTGGTCAGATGAGAATGTAAGGAGAGGTTTATACTCACTATTAAACCCGCAAAGCCTGGTCTAACGCACGTAAAAGACATGCATTCAGGAAGATGTGAGATGTTCGTGACTAGTGATAGATGTCTCCAAGCCGCAGCTAGAAAACAATAAACGGATATTCAAGTGTTGGTTTGTAGGGATTTGGTTGATTGGTAACAGGATTTCATCATGAGCTGACATCGGTTAGAGAACCATTGGAGAAGCCCCTGAGAGTACCGGATAGCTGTTTCATCCTAGTTCGGGACTCTTCATCAGCGCCCACCCACCACCAAGGTTCGGAGCCACGACCTTCTGGTTACAAGGCGAACTACCTCGTAGACCATTAGGCCACTGGGACCCACCCAACCCAATGGCCAGTCCATGAATTACAACTTCTGACAATTCACGACATATCACTATCACTCGCCAATGTCTTCGACAAGTATTTGTCCTCACACCCGACCTGCTGCCCCCTACTGGTCATGCACCCATCACACTTGAATATCGATGAGAGGCTCACTAGCGACTTGCCCTATTCAGGTGGGTAGTTACCTGGGGTTCTAGTGAGAAGTGATAAGATGCCAGGAAGTGAATACATCGGCGACACTATGAACGATGCTGAGCCGTTTTATCAACAACTGGTTCTTATCATTCCACGGGACACAGTCATTCAGTATACACCTCCATACGTGGTTCAACCAACAGTCAAAGACTTCATGGACTGATATTTGCATTCTGACTGTGTGGTGCTAAACAGATATGTAAAATTTCTCTAATTCAACTGAATATGTATCACTCATACTCCTGTATTGAATGTTTTACTATTCCTTCTGCTAATTTCAGGTGAGAGAACGTAGATTACAGCTGGCCACATTGTTCGGTGATTTCGATCAAACGCATCGTATGACGGTCAGTCAGAGTCAATTTCGTCGTGTACTAATGACACTGGGCCTTGGTGACCTGCTAACAGAAAGAGAATGGACTGCACTTTACTGCAAATATCGTCATCAGTTAGGTGTAACTGATAATATTAATTATCTAGCCTTTGCTGATGATGTCTACAGAGGCGCTGGTATAGAACCACGCATGCCTTAATGATATTCTGTAACCGTAAGCTGTGGTACGAAGTATCAGTATAAGGTGTGTCGAGTCAAGGAAGCAAGACCGTTTTTATCACCATTATCCTTATTTGTAGCAAAAAAACAAAACAAAAAGTGCTCAGTAATCGTATGTCTTGACAGAATAATACAATGATATAATGAGCATATAACATACTAGAAATAATAAATAAAAACTATTTCTGTTACTCAGACTTTTCTTTTCCAATAAATTACGATGAAAATAGGTGCTTAAAAGAAATGACTTACTAATATATGCATATAACATAGGCACTGTAGTAGTAACTAATCCCATATTAGTTTGTTTATTAGATGTATCACACAGTGAGTGAAACAGTATTATTATTTACTGGATGACAATATTTCGAACAAAATTTTGTTGTTCATAATCATATCATCGATTGTAATCACACAACTTCGAAACTTGAAATTTATAGTTTTCTTTGTTCTCTCCTAATTGTCATCGTTGAGGTAGTAGAATTTACCAAATATCTGGGACAGGTATTGAATCATTCCTATTACACCTGTTTACAGTTGATTCGATAGGCAAAGCTTCTGTTATCAATCTCTCCCTCCACATTGTAACGTTAGATTAGATTTTAAAACTGTCATCCTATCCCGCCATCCTAGATTGGATGGTTGCGTGTAACTGCATGTAGTGAGTGCTAAAGCTGAACTATTCACTAGATTTCTTATCTTATTTGGGTCAAATAATCTAGATTTTGCTAGGGTTTTATGGTCGGCTGGTCTGACTGCCCCTGTTCTACTAGTTTGACCTATGCATTTGACCTGATAATCATCGCCAGCAGGCTGTTAGATAAGCTAAACTGGTTTGTTTAACTGGCTCTACAGGACTGATCCTTTAACCAACAAAGCTTGTTTGCAATTGAGTTTGTGGTTGGTTTGAATGCCAGCCACTTTTACTCCTGCCATCGTTGTTAAGAATTCTGCGTAAGGTTTTAAAAGTTCCTTCGCTGTATGGAATTACCATCGGTGATTTAGATTAGGAGAGAACAAAGAAAACTGAAGTTTCGAAGTCGTGTGATTAGAATTGATGATATGACTATGAACGATAGACTGTTCGACACCTCGTCATCTAGTAAACAATACTGTTTCAATGTGCGATACATCTAATCAACAAACTAATATGGAAGGAAAACGACAGTTGGGAAAATGTAATGAAAATAAAATAAATATTTTCGGTCTCATGGTTCAGGTCAGTGCTTCAGATAGATGAACAAACGAAAGTATTTACAGTAGGCTGTGGAGTCTGTAATGCCTATTCACATTTATGATTTTCTCTTGATAGCTTATGTTGGGATATATAATTAGCTGGACGCTCTTGAAATCAACGCAAACATCATCTTTCAGTGAGAGGGAGGTATATTTATGTGAAGGCTACGGGACAGCAGTGAATGTGCACACTGGATCGAGCTACTGTCCATTAACAGCTGAATGCTTCACTGGACAAGAGAAGTTGTCCATTCCGTTGAGAGAAAAACAAAACAGTAGGTAATCCGCAAGTCACAAGAACTGAAATTATTTTCTTCTTCAAAAAAGAAATCCATTTGAAGGAATATACACATTGGATCATAGGAATTATTACTAAGTGCAATAATTAGGAAGATCGGGTAGAAAGGACAAAATAGGATTACATTTACTAGAAAACTGGTCAGTTTGTATAATTACGGATTAAGGATGTAGTAATAACAAAATGGGTAGAAGGTCCGGACATAAAAAAATTAGAACAGTAACCAAATCTAACAATGCAGATAGGGATTTTAAAGGTAAATATAACAAAGAAACTGGAAGGTTGGACAAGAAATGTAATAGGATAATCATTATTGGTTAGACTGACTTTTCATGATGGTCATGGTAGGGACAACGGTTGGAAGTATTTTTTTTGGACACATACAATAGGCTTTATTTTGGGATCGCCAGTAGCTCAGCCGTTCCTAGATGTCTTGATTTCACTCCCTTTGGTAGGTTGGATCGGATCATATATATAGCTTTGAAGAAGTGAATGTCCGGAATTCCCCAGATGCTGTGTTGTTGAACTCCGTGCTCCTTTGCGTTCTCCCTTTGCCAGCCACGCTGGATAGTGTTCTCACGCGCGTTTTACAGGCGGACGCTTGGTACGGCCAATGTACTCAGCTCCATACAAGCGAGTGAACTTGTATATGCATGCTGGAATGACCCAATGTGACAGCTTGTCTTTCACATGTTGAGTGAGTAGTTTCATGCTGGCGAATGCTATTCGCAGGCTGGCAGTGAAGTATGTTTTGCTGGGAGACTTCGAAAGAAGTCTACGGAAAATTTCTGCCTCAAAACCACTTATTAATTCGCGCTTCAATATCAGCATCTTTTTGTGGTCGACTTCGACCTTTTCAGGTGTTTTCCTGAATCCATTTTCTATCAAGATAATTCTTTATCGATTGACTCTTCAATGCAAATCTTCCGGATCCTCGAGGAAAGAGAGTATATTAGGTTCCTCTCTTTGCTTAGAGGCACTTAACTTTGAAAACTAATAAACCGTCCGCTCCATGTGGGCTTTCTGTAGATGGATCTGCATAGTGAGTTGTCTGCATTCCTTCGTAGTTGAACGTTGAGGAAATGAAACATTAAGTTAGACTCAACTTCTCAAGTGAAGTCGATGTTTGGGTAGGCATTAATGAACATGTGAATTAGATATTTTAGATCACAAATAATGAAAGTATCATCGATGTATCTCTTGTGCAGATGGAGGTCGTCGGCAGTTGATGATAAGGAGTTGTTTTCTAGGCTAACCATAAGGCAGTCAGCCAGGAGGCGTCCTAGGGGAGAACCCATTGCTACTCCATTATTATTAATCTGACCTCTGACCGGAAATAATTCTGGAACTTTCCCACACATTTAATATAAATACACGAATATGATGGAGAAGATTTGTAGCTCAAGTGGATGGTACTGATGTGGTTGCGTTCTCTGAGCTGACAGTTAATTTGCGAAGCTTTCATCGCCCTATTATTATTTATTATTATTGCTCCCTTGGGTTCCTAGTGGAACATAGGGCTTCAACTACACGTCTCCATTTGCTTCTGTCTTCTACTGTACTATTCACCTGCATCTATGTTAGTCCATACTCTTTCAACTCCTCTTCATCGCCCTACTAGGCAACATCTTCAGCGCATACTTCAATTTGAAGTGAGCTTTTCGATTTCTCCACGAGTTTATTAGTCATCTCTCCAGGTGGGTTACCTTGAACGTGATTGGTTGTTTTTGTGTGTTTTCACACTTTCTAGGTTACTTGTATTGGAATTGATTGTTCCTTTGACTTGAACTTTGACCGCACTTTGTCGAGATTTCCTTCTTATCGGTTGGTAAAAATAAATTGTAACAACTGCGAACAACACTACATTGGACAAAGCGGACGTCCCCTTCGTCTTCGTATCCATGAACATAAGCTAGCCATCAAAAGACATGACATCCACTCTCTCATATTCCCTCACTACATACAGACAACCACGGACTGGGAAAACGAGCGTTGAAATATTAGACAGAGGAAACACCAAGAATGTTAGAGAACTATTAGACAGCTGCATGGTATTCCAGTGAATCATCAATCAATAGACACATTGAAATAAACAAAATTTACCAATCGATTAGAAGGAAATCTCACACATAAAGAGTCAAAATTCAAGTCATGGAAACAACCACTTCCAATACAAGTGGCTTAGGGAGTGTGTAAACACACAAAAACAACCAATCACCTCCAAGGTCACTAGGAGAAATGTTTAATAAACCCGTGGAGAAATCTAATTATTTATTATTATTGTTTCCTTTAATTCCTAGAGGAACATAGGGTTTCAGCCGCGCATCTCCATTGCATTCGGTTCTCTGCCAACGTTTTCACCTGGCTACACGTTTGCCCACATGCTTTCATCTCCTCTTCACATGACCTCCTCCAAGTCAACGTTGGACGGTCAACTCACTAATCTAACAATAATAATAATAATAATCTAATAGCTCACTTCAAATTGAAGTATTCACTGAAAATGTTGCCTAGTAGGTCGATGAAAGCTTCGCAAATTACATATCCAGCTCAGAGAACACAACCACATAAAAAAGATACACGAATGTACAGCCTAGTTGATGACTTCGTCGAAAAGAAAATTTTCCTCACTGCAACCGTCTTTTTTTAATTAATCCACTTGAACAAAGCAAGAACACCAAATGTAGCATAGTAATATGAGCAGATTTTCGTTATTATTTTGCAGATACTTCTCAACTGCTTATATATATACTGCTTATATATAACCTCCAATCAATAACGAAATATAAAAATGATAAAAAAGGGCTTAAAAATACTTTTATTACTTTCCCTAACCAAATACTAACTAACAGCGACTATACGTAACATAAGTCCAGAGTGAAGTCAGTAGTTAAAACAATCAGAATATTCAACCAACATTAGCCGGTCGCCTCCCTTGAAACTTGACAGTGATTTATACTTGTGATGAAAAAAATCCTGTCTTCTTCACAGGGTACTGATAAGATGATTTCTTACGAAATATTAAAAAAGGACGTTTGAAGGGAAGAGAATTGCCTTTGTCACGAAATCATCAACTAGACTGTACGTTGGGCTATTGATAGCAAATGGGTTAGAAAGCTCCATAACTATTTCCTGTCAAGGATCAAATTAGTAAGTTGCTAGTACTAATTTGGTGGTGTGATACAGACAATGTGTTCCAAGAGAATATTATTCTCACAGTTCAATATTGCATTAGCAACAAAATACCATACATGGATTTGAACATTCTATTTCATGTCGTTTAATGTAAACCAAAATGACGCGCTTAGTGATTGGTTAAAGTGTGGCGAAAGCAGGCTGCTAGCCAAACGGTAGATACTAATTTACGTCAATGTCTAGGTCACTAATATTGACCGTGAGAAAATATGAACAAGGCTGATTCAACAACCAATCACAGCAGACTTAAT